TTTATTTCAATAATAAAAGTACCAGTGATGTAACGAACAACAAGCAAAGTAAATCCCAAGAGATACTGTGTCAGGAGAAAATCGTCGAAGAGAAGAATATGACTAACTTCACTAGAGGCTGTGGCAACTACGCGACTTTGCAGCCAAAGAAGAGAAACGTAGTAACAGAAACCGATATTGGGCAGATCGATCATTATTCAGACGACGAAACACCTTGCAGAAGAGAATGGGTAATAATGTTATATTCAAATTAGATATATTTGTGCGTGTAGTAAAGGAGCTATAATACTGGATTTTAATTAATAATATTAAATGATAAATGTAAATTAATCGATTAATCTTCATCGTAATATTAATTGCAGGCCTCCCCGAAACCTGTGCGCAAAACTTCATCCATCACGTTGACGCCACACATACCGCCAGCAATAATTCAGACTGCTAGCAGTGATCCGAATACAACGGTGATACACGAATCCACGTTGTAACATACGATATAAGCCAGACTGAGAGGTCTGGCTCGAGCAATGCTCAATGTACAGTGCCTGGTGTGCCGTGATGTTTAAACAACATCGAGTGGCGAGATTAAAAAAAAGAAGAAAGACAATTCCGATAGAGTATATAAATCCGTTATTTTTCGATTACTAAACGGGGGATGTGATACGTCGAGAGACAACAAAAGGTCGTTCCTTCACCTCGAATTTATATATAAAATCGCTTTCTCATGGACGCCGATGTGGATGATGAATTTCAACGGCGTGCTTCTCTTCGCGCATGTTATTTCGGGAGAGAGGTGTAACAAATCTACACCCAAACGATTTTTCGAACGATGAATAGAAATACGAGGCATTAGTAATTTTTGTAATTGTAATACCATGTTTGTATACAGCTCGCGTGAATTGTATTATATGATAGCAGCTAAGATAGCTTTTTAAAAGAAAGACAAATCTTATACTCAGTATATGAAGAATCGCGTATATTCTTAAGAGAAGGAAAAGAAACCTTTAGTGTTTATATTATACAGTTGGATATCTTGAATGCAATAGGCAACTAAATTCTACCTATGTTCAGAGGAGGAAAAAGATATTTCCAGATCGACAAACGTCGTTCGCATCGTGTCATCTTACAATGAAAGTATATGACAATAACGAAAAACAAATTTGTACGTTACAAATCCTGCATTAAAAATACACACCTCGTTTTCTCTACGATTGATCGTTTCTGAACATACTGTGTAACTACTCGACCGTTGCTTTGAGAATCTATATGCTTATAATTGTAATATTTATATTATATCTGTATCATCCACTAGTGGCCTTATCTAAGTAATTAATACTGATACACACACGTCACATTATTAAGCATATTAATCATACGTATTACTCACAAACAAGCGTTTTATTTTAGATATCGAGACTGTTTTTGCGAGAGCCACCGAATTGTGTAACATTAATTTCACAATATCCTCGTCTGATTTAGGCATCTCGTTTAGGAAACACTTGTGAAAGTTATAGTTTATACACACAGCCTACAGTCAAGTTCTTCCAATGACTGTGTGGTCACAGCGCTCTATTAATGTGAAAAAATGAGTGATCAATTTTAGAGAGCGATACGGCTTTTCTACGTAAAAGGAGAACAAGACAAATCCACAGTTGGTTTCTTATCTCGCGATTGAATTGACTTCAATCTCCCAATTTTATCAATCATTCCAATCGGATGTTGAGTAAAGTACGAACGTGAGAACAAGCGCGAGCGTGAAAGCGAGAATTTATAAATATATATATATGTATACATAACAAGATTATATGAGTGAAAGATGTTTAAGTTATTTTATTAATTAACATTTATTACTAGTCACACGTATCGTGGACACGGGTAGTCAGTAACGATTAGAGTGCAAACGACGAAATGTGTTTACTATTCGCGGATTATGATTTTATAAGTTCCATCAATCGACTGAGGATGTACACATATACACATACACACACACACATACATATTATTAAATATTACTTACTCTTTCATTGAAATAAATAGAGGATGTATATGTATATATATATACGGGAGAAATGTGTCATTCCATTTTTAAGCACGTCACAACAGTACATATTATACAATTTTGTCGTTCTTCGATCTACGGCTCTCGTCGTTCGTTGCATTTTGTTACACGTTTACAAAGAGAAGCGGGAAATGATATCGTGATATTCTACAATTCGTTGTGTTGGACCGTATATATACATATATATGTATACATATATGCATACCTTGTCTTTTTGAATATCTTTTTAGGATTAGCGGTAACTCTCTTCTGCGAACTTCTTTACTTATCGACCAAATAAAATGGGACTTAAGTAACCGAGACGGCGCTGCAATTCTGATATCTTACCGACGATGTGGCAGAAATCGTGAATAATTTGAATAATTGAAAAATAAATATGATGAGACAAAGTGTGAGATGTTTTTCTTCCTGTTCTACATTACAACAGCACCTTTTTGACTTAAACTTTTCCGCGAGTACGTTTCGGAGCGTTTGTTTAATTCTTAGAGCCGGAGTTTAGCATCAGTATATATTTAAAATTGCAAATTTGATGTTAAAAAATTGCAACATCAAAATTTATAAAGTTAAAATTTTTTAAATTTAAACAAAAGATAGAAGAAGAAAAATCGAAAAGGAATATGAAAGGTACATCTAGCATAAAAATTATAAAATGACCAAACTTTGATTAACTTAATTAGTGATTAATTTAATCGGCAGAATTGCTTAAAGATTTTTATATATATTCAAAATGGAAAATTATTAATTTTATTTATATTAATGAAGTAATAAAAGTATTATTTGGTAATTATTGATTAACTTAATTAGTAATTATTGATTAATTTAATTAGTAATTAATTCAATTGAACCATTTAAGATAAAATTTCTGATATATATATATATATATATATAGGTCTCTATTCTTATTTAACAATTCCGTTTATGTTAACGAAATAGTACAATTAATTTACTTAATAAGTTAATTGGAGCCGTAAGTGCGGCCAAGCTTTAATTAAAGGGGTATTCTACTCGTAGTATCGGTAAAAAAAAAACCGAAACATTTTTCATATTCTTGTAGTTTGGAGTCTTAAAAATGTGTATAGCTGACATATAAAGAGATACTAAAATTACTTATTATCCATCTTGTAAGAGAAGCTTCAAAATTCTTTTTCCAAAACGGCATTTTTCAAATTGGACGCACATTTTCTCGCAAACTGCTGGGCCGATCGACTTCCGCTTTTGTAGACATATGATGTACATATTAGGTTATCGTTCGACCTTTCAACTTTTTGATATCTTTAAAATAATACTATTTTTCCGGGTCGCAGGAAATAAATATTTTTTTTAGTAAAAATCGAAGTATTTCTTTTAAGCGCTATCATTTTATCAACTTTTCTTTCTATGATTTATTAAAGGGCTGAAGTAACGACAATCGTAAAGAATAAAACAAAAAAAAATTTTTTTTTATTTCAAATGACGAGGATGGCAATCACTGCATCCGATAAAAACGATTTTTCGCGATATGACTTGTGTGTCTATCCATATCTTGTATAATATACAATAAAATGTTTGCTTTGCAAACATTTGAGGAGTTACGTCAAATACGAGTGAATGTGAATGCAAAACATTAGCTCTGTAGATTTAACTGTTTTTATAAAATTAATTCCCAAAATTTACCTCAAAATGAATAATCACACTAGAATACCTCCTTAAGTTATTAATCATCTTGAATTATCTTATTAACATATAGATAACGTCAAATGTCATTTATTTGGGAATATATAGGAAGAAAGATTAGAGATCAGAGCTGAAGCAAATAACATGTACTTAGAGAAAAACATAGCATTTATAGCAACTATAAAGCCAATTCTACAATGTGCTTTTTGTTTCCTGTTTCTTGTTTTTTACCTTTTGCTTTTTTCTCCTTTACAACTGTTTTCGACAATTGTATTTCTTGCTACATATTTCCTATTTCTTTCGAAGTTCATTAACTTTTATCTCGAACAACATAAAACAAAAAACCAAAGAAGAAGCAAAAAAACAAGATGTAAAAAATAGCAAAGAAGAAACAAGACAAAAAATAGCAAAAAGCAAGAAATAGGAAACAAAAAGCACATTGTAGAATAGGCTTAAAGGTGACGCATACTAGATTTACATGTAAAATTAATGTGCATAGTTAAATAAACTAATGTGTGTGTATAAACAGTATTGAAATTACTTCATAATTGCAACAACTACAAAATAGTTTATTTAACTAAGTACACACATTAATTTTACGTAAAAAATTTGCAGTTATCACTTTTATATTAGGTGTTGGAATTAATTCGTAGCGTTTTACAAGTGATGGGAAGTACTTTCATTAATGTATTTTTTAATGCTCATGTGAAATAAATAACATTCTTTCATTAAAAACGCTACGAATTAATTCCAACACCTAATAGTTGTCATCACTAATACCTGGTTCCACCAGTATAAAATTAGCTTTAGTCTCATTTTCTAATCTTTAGGATTAGAAAAAAAAAGAAAAATATTAAGTTAAATCGAGATAAAGTTAATCTTAGTTCAAAACGTGCATAAAAGTATTTTTTTCTGATGCCTGTTTCTACTAATGTAGAGAAATTAACTTTAACGTGGTCCAACTTGCTCTTTATCTTTTTCAAATTCTTAGAACTAGAAAACGAAGAAGAGCTAGTTGAACCAAGGTTAAAATTAAACTACATAGGAAGGAGCATGAGTGTTGAAAATAATTGCGCTAGCGACCCCGTCGGAGTCTTGAATGAATCGTCGCCGATCGGAGTTTGGTCGAAGTCGCTCCGAGTACGTCCGTTCGGTCCGCATTTTAGTCGCCTCGTGCCCTCTGCCGCCCGATGCCCGCATGGATGTGCATCCATCTCTCCGGTCTCTCGTTTCGAAAAGCGTCGGAGCTGAAACGAACGAGAACGAAGCAGAACGGAGTTGGAGTGCAGCGGAGTAGCGCGTGAGCGGCCCGGCCTGGCGGCTGCCTGTGTTCCCGACTCCCGACTCCCGTAAATCCTCCACAGGGCACAGAATCGCGCGCAAGCGGGAACGCGATTGGCTGCGACAACCGCCCCACCCCGGCGGTCGCGTCGCCTACGCTCGTCATTCTCGTCAGTCGGGCTTGGGCCACGGTCGAGTGTGCGTCGTATGTCGCGGATTTCCGTTCACGTACGCGAGCGTACGGATTTGTCACTGAGAGGAAAAATATCGAGGTAAGAGGTAAACCATCCCTCGTTGAACCATTTCATCGTTGCGACGCCCCGTCGATGCCCGCGACGTCTGTCTGAATCACGTCCGTGGGACGGAGGGTGAGGGTGGATGGGAAAGGGGGTGGAACCACCGTCGCGCTTCTGTCACGCGAGCCCACTGCCGGTGGGATCACACGCTCTCTTTCTCTCTCTCTCTCTCTCTCTCTCTCTCTCTCTCTCTCGGACTCGCCCTAACTGATATATACATACATATACCGTCGCCCGTGCAGTGCGTCCCTGTGCGATGCAGCGTGCGTTTTCTCATCTCTCGAACGCCATAAAGAACGAAGTGGCTACTCCATTCTTGAGATAAACGTGATCGAAAGAAAGAGAAGACGATGCGGTATCTACAGAATGAGAGAAAGAGAAAGAGAGAGGAAAGTGGAAGGAAATAGAGAAGCCCGATGGCGCTCACGGTCGTCTTCGTGTGTACTCTCGGGGATCGATACACGGTACACACTCCGGGTGACGATGTGTGGGTGCAAGAATACATTACATCGAGCTTTCCATATGAAACGCATCGGTTGTGTGCCTATGTGTGTGTGTGTGTGTGTGTGTGAGTGTGTGTGTGGGAATGAGAGAGAAAGAGAGCGAGTGAGAGAAAGAGCGAGACGCTATCGAGACGATGGAGTACGTGGAGTTGGATTTCGTCGAGCAGGCCTCGGTAACGAAAGAAATACCACCAGATGTTGCGTAGCGTGGTCCGAGGTGCTCGTAAAAGCCGGGTGTTCGTAAAGTCCCATGCGGACCTCGAAGGTTTAAGAGCAAGAAAGAGGAGAGAGAGAGAGAGAGAAACGCAGCAGAGGCGAATACCGAAACCGCCTTTTTCCGCTTCGCGACTCGCGAGAGGAGCTCGGTCTCGCGCGCGCGGATATACGGACGCGGATGTGTACCGCCTTCTATACCGCGCCGCCGAGTTATCGAACGGACCCATTTTCCTCGCGCATGCAACGCAACGCGACGTCTCGAAGGCAGTCGGAGTAAAGTCGGAGGAACGTCGCGCGCCGCGGCGACGAACAACGACGACGAGCGTGGAGCGGCGATATGATCGAAGGTGAACGAGCGTCAGAGCGAAGCAGTTTACCACCGTTGATTACGATGGGTCGATGACTTTTTAGCGAGCGATAGCATGCGCCGGGCTTAGCTTCCCTTTTCCGCGGCTTGAGAATTTTATCTAGGAAGGCTGGGACATTCTCATGTTTCAGGGAAAGATCTTGTTCTTTTGGGGGAAGGGACGTTACGAGATTTCGGGGCGACTTCGAACGAAACTCTGACTGACTTGAAAGACAATTAGCGACCGATACGTGGAAAGAATGATTTCGTTCAAGTATCTAAAAATTTCTGGTTGAAAATGGACGAAACGGATGATTCTGATTGTATCTATATAATTCCAGTAGGTTTTGTCAGAAAATTCTGATTCGTCTATTTTTCAATCAGAACTCCAATTAATCGAACCAGATTTTCTTTCATGAGAAAAATTTCTGATCAAAAATGAATAAACAAAAATGAATAAAATGAATAAATGAAGATTCTGATTGACCATGTCAATCAGAGTTCTTAGTTGTCTCAACTAGAATTCTTGTAGATTTAAGAAAATTCTGGTTTGTCTATTTTCAATCAGAATTCCAATTAATCCAACCAGATTTTTTTTTATGAGAAAATTTCTGGTTGAAAATAGATAAAATAAGATTTTGATTATATCGATCAGAAATCCAGTTATCGGATATAGAATTCTCGTAGATTTAAGAAAATTCTGATTCGTCCATTTTCAATCAGATTTCCAATTAAACCAAGACTTTTTTTAGTCTAAATTTGAAAACAATTTTGTTGAAATAAAAATAATTATATAGGAAACTCAAGTATGATGACAAATATTTCAAAAGTATTTTGTTATTTTATCAAATAACTTGAGTATCCTCATAGTTATTATTATCCAACAAACTATTTTTAGATTTGTATCTAACTAAATTTTTAGTTACTTCAGCAAAAACGTTTTTTCCGTGCAGAATTGCTTCTAGCAAAATTTCTAGCTATACAATACCGTCCTTAATGTAATTTTTTTTATCAAACAAAAAGTACATAATTGTATTTCTGTTAATCAAAGATTTCAGGTGTAAGTACTCGAGTAAATTAATTAGAGTTAATTTCGAAGTCTGATCAAAATCTTTAACTGCGATCCAAACAAAAGAAATCATGTGATGGATTACTCTCTTTCAAAAAACTTTCGGTAACTTCAATTTGGAGCGTTCGAAATTAAATCAATGTCAAAATAAATGTAAGATTAGAATTTGCTGAAATCAGTTTTTATTATATGAATTAAATTCTAACTTTTATTGAAACTGAACCGAAACGCTCGGCTATATGTCAATTTCAATCGAAACCAAAACAAAATTAAAAAATAGGAATTCTATAAAGGCCATATGTATAGACATGCTCACATATTATGTACTTTTTCTTCATAAATATCATAATTTATTGAAATATACAATAATTAAATTTTGATCAAAATCGTAAATCGAAATTTCGATTGCGTGTCAATTTTAGCCAAAAAATATAAGTATTTCTTTTTTACAAATATCACAATTTAATTATTGAAACAATAATTATACATATTAAAATTAATATTTATGAAGAAGAGCTATATGGTCTTAGTCGAAAATGACACGTAATGAGTGTTCATTTTCAGTTTCGGTAAATGTTTCGGTCGGATTATAATATTAAGTTTGACTGACTCGATTTAATGTAAATCGTTTCTTGAATTTTTCAGAAACTTGAGGGACTCGTATCTGAAAAATACAAATAAAGAACTTAATTAAAGAACTTAAAAACATCTCACGTATAGTATCCCACTTTATCTCATTTTAAGATAAAATTCATGAATATTACATAGAATTGGCGCATGACTTACATTGGATCGTAAACAAATCAGTTAGTCCACAACTCTAATCAAATCTTCTAATCAAGTCACGTCACATTGTGAGAAGAGAGGAATGGAACGAGCGAATCATTTTTCATCGTCTTTCCCACTCGATTGAAATTTTTCACGGACGTCCACTCGTTTCTTATCGATGTCGACCTACGGAAGCTTTTCGAGGAAAAGGCGTGGAAACGCGGTGCATTATGCACGAAGCTTGTGAAGTACAGTTGGTCTTAGAAAAATACACGTGCAGAAAGTATTAGAGAGACAATCCTGTAAATATTGCATCGCGAAACAAGTGTGCAGCCCAGACATACGGAAAGAAGAAGAATGAGATGGCAGAGGAATGCGGAAAGCATGTGCCGCATGAACATACTTATCATTTATGTTCCTTCCGTTTGCTCTTTCCGCGTTTATGGCTCTGTCCATTTTAGTCACGCTTTTGTACACTTTGCCACATTTCGCCGCTATCTATTCTTCCATAAGGCTTGAAGACACACAGCTTTTTTTCCCTAAATGTACAAAGTGCTGAAAAGTACGACCACAAGAGAGCGTCGCATATTTCTTTTGCTATTTTGCTATCGCGTTTTTCTTTCTTCGTAACGTATTGTCAAAATGCACATTGGAAAAAAAGTCCGATTATATTAATTGAAATTCTGCTTGAAAATGGATAAATCAGATTTTTCTGATTGAATCTTATAATTCCCATCGAGATAACCAGATAATTCTAATATGATCAGAATCTTCTGGTTCATTTTTAACCAGAAATTTTTCTCACTGCCTGTTCGTTGTATTTATTTCTTGCTGGTCTATCCATCAATCAAGATTAACTTATCAAATTTTAGATTTAAAAAGTATAATTAAGACGGACAGAAATCTTTTCAGCTCCATTTTAAATATATTAAACGTGATAAGATTTAACTGTATAAAAAGAATAAATCTTATGTTTATTCCGAGAGTATACAGAAAAAATAATTCTGCTAAAGTATCTAAAAATTAAGTTAGATACAGATCTTAAAATAATTTTGTTGAACCCTCGAAAAAACGAAAAAAAATATAGGACATTCAAATTGATTACTAGAATGTCGAAACTTTTTGCAACACTATTCATTGTGCTTGAGATTTTTACGTAATTATTTAGATGGTTCAATAAAATTATTTTCAGATTTGTATCTAGCTAAATTTTTATGCACTTCAGTTAAATTATTCTTTCCTTTCGTGGATTTGACTAATTATTGCAAGTCAACATTTCGTAATATTAACTTCGTAATATAATCGTTCCAATGTCAAGTATCTCTATTTTACATGCAGAAAGCGTAAAGTATAAAAATTTCTCGTTATCACTCGCTCTTATCGTTCGCCTCGTTGCGAATACAAGATTAATTTTGAATCACGCTTCGGCGCGATGTTCGCGATCGCGTTTCGATCGCGACGAAAGATGGAATGGATACGCGATTAATTTCGCGTAGTTCATCTCTTCGACCTATCACGGCCCTTATACCTGAATATAATCCGTCGTTCATCTTCGATCACCGAAGTCTTTCGCGGGGTCACCGTACGGCCTCATAGACGACGTTATAGTCACGTTATAGTCAATCGATCGTAGCGGTTTGCATGTCGCGATGACCGGCAGTGATCGGTCGATGACTTTTTGCACGCGGTGATGCGCGCAATTCGCGATTTGCGATGCGCTCGAATCGGCAGTAGACGATTTACTGTCAAAAAAAGATCAATCTGTTGTTCCTCTCCATTGAGAGCGGAAGATTACGTTGTAGGTACACTGAAAGGTCGACGATGAAAATTTTATTCGGGATAAGCCGAGAAACAGGTGCGAGAAAGCACCGTTTAAAAAACTTGCGTATATAAGTGCAGTATGAATTTATAAAATGAATTCGTTAAAAAATATCGTTAAAACGCTGGTAAATCAAGGGATAATAAAAGTACTAATAATAAATATCGAGAAATGAGGAAAACTCAATTAGCATTATTATACATTTAAAAGCTTTATAAATTTATCTTCCGGAAGATTTGTCTCTTGTGACAAAACACAGTTTTTTCCTTCACTCGATATTGCCAGGAGAAACATAAGTTACGTGCACGTTCTACACTTTGTGTATTTAAAATGAAATAGACGTGCCTGACTCGAACGGGAGGAAAAATAAGGCAAACGAGCGTAGAAAATAAAAAACATGCAACACAAATGGATTATAATGGAAGATTTAGTTCATTGTTTCACACTCTAAAGTTAATTTTTTAAATCTAAACTTGAGGGATTTTATTATAGATATATATTATTTCCACTGTCTAGACATCGTTTTATTTTATGATTAAAATATCGAAATATGCATATGAATATTTACGCAATTTTAAATTTATGCGATTTACGTATCTATTAAAATAACATAATTATCGGTTTTTAAATAATAATATTTATTTTTTTTTATATTATAATACGAGTAGAGATATTTTTAGAAATCTAAATAATTTTGAAACATTAGAAAAAATTATTTAGAATTCCAAATTCAGTTTAATAATATTTCTATCAATGAAACTTGACATTGCTGTGTTTAAAGTCTTTTCGTCTTTATCTTGTATCTTTTAACTTTATTCTTTCTTAACTCACTGTATTTATGTAACTATCGCGCAATTTTATGCGAGTGCCAGAGTTGATAACAGCTGATTACAGTTTTTAGTTGAGTTTCACTTTCGAAACTAGGGTATCGACTTCCAGACTACACGTCTGTATAAATTCATACATTGCACGAAGTCGATGGATTTAATATTAAGTTCGAACTGCATTACTAAGTTAAATAAGTTTAATCCCCCTTTTTGTCAAGTATCAAGAATCCAAGTAACGCAATATTGTACTCTATTTAGCTTTCTGTCAACATTTTTTTTTACATTGAAAAAAATTCCTAGTTGAAAATGGACGAATTAGAATTTTCTGGTTGAATTTATTAGAATTCTAATTGAGAATAATAACCGGAATTCTGATTGATACAATATTTCTGGTAAAATTTACTAGAATTCTTATTTTTACCAGAATAATTATATCAATCAGAATTCTAGTTACCTCAATTAGAATTTTAATACAACTAAGATTTAACCAGAAAATTCTGATTTGTCCATTTTCCACCAGAATTACTATTTAATCTAACCAGACCATTTTTCTCAGTGTACGATTAAAACGAAATCAGTGCACTCTGTGCATCTACAAAATGAAAGGGAACAATGTACTGTGTCGCACGCCGTTGAAAAGGAAGACAGGCTTAGGAGAATATACGAGGCAGGATGACAGCATAAGTGGACAATATAAGCAGTGGTAATATAAGCAGCCTTCATTTAAAATCATGGTATGATTGGCGATGACTTTATTTATCACTCATACAATGACGCACAGTGAGTCAATATGAATACGCGTGATACTCGAACCGCAGGTTTCTTCCGGCATGGCGATACAATTGTCGGTTTTATCAGACGAAAACGAATATACATATAGCTGTTCGTGTGAGTGCAAAATAAAGAATTTGGAACCATCAAATATTTCGCACGGCTCGACCTTTGTTATACTCGATAGAATTAACAGCGCGCACAGCGAGAGAAAATTTAAATAATAACAGCTCTCACTTGCAAATGGATTGATTATCCGCGTCGCCGAGTATATTTAAGATTTTTAAGTTGCATAATGTAGAGCGTAAAGTTCATTATATCTCGATATTTGTTTCTACATTTTAATCCGACAGCAATCTAATTTTTTTTACGTAAACGATCATCTGGAGTATTTTTATATTTCAATTAAACGACTGTTATTATTATTATTAAGATGTTATTAAGATGTATTGCATGTTATTGATACTTTTCTGATTTATCAGTATTTGCCGAGAGCATTACCGATATGGATTTAATCACAATTTTCTAAAACAAATAAATAGAACGCAAGCAAATATTAAACGGAATAAACACGTTAGGTAGCTTATCACGATAGCATTTCTACAAAATAAAGATTTTGATGTAAAGCTTTTTTATTACGAATTTTCGGATTGCACATTTAGAGGCTTGTAAAGTATAGTTATTAAACAAGAAAAATAAGAATTAATATCTATATAAAGCAATGTTTTATAACAATTACATTTACATTTTTTACGCCTGAGATATCTCAGGTGGCTATTCTCAGATTAAAAAAATATATACACGTGGATTTAATACTATGCGATGTTCATGCAATTCTCGTGTTGATGTTGCTATAAACACCAACATGATGTGGATTTAACACCATACTTTCAAATCTGTAGTTTTTAAATCCATATCCATATTTTTTAGAACGTACATTCATTTAATTTGCAATTTAAATTATTTCATTCGCCGTACTTGGGAAGAATTTTGCGTGTTTGAGAAACGATTGAGATTATTTAGTCTTCATTTCGAAATATCAAATTATGATATATCACGCAATAAGGAAGTGTTTATTGTGCTACAAGGCTATTGTTGAGATCGAATATCACGCACCGTCGTGGATTTTCTGGCTTTGAATATACGAGCGTATATTGGAAGCACCACACTCAGTGCTACATCGAGTTGTTGGCGATGTTGACGCTTCAAGGATAGAATGGAATCGGGAAAGTGGGTTAATAAACCGTACGTGTACGTTGCACTTTATCGATCCGCGATATATTTATTACGGAGATAGGTATTTGTTGCTCGCGGTGGTGTCTGCTGGAGCTTAATATAGAGCGTGATGCATATAAAACGCATTGCTAATCGGCTGAGACCGTTATATCATGTTTGATACTGTAACATGCAAATATGTTTGCATGTGGCGAATTAATTTTCATTAATATCATTAATATCAGAAATCCGATTGAGACACGCGGACGTGAGTGTTTTATTTATTAGGTCGGCAAGAACGCACGCGGTATTAATTGCGGTGTTAATTTATCGATATGCTTTTAATAATACAAGATAAATGAAGCGTGCTTTTGTTATTTTTCTTTCCTAAATTTAACAGTCTTATGACATCGATAATAATCACTAGTTTCTTCTTTATTATTAAAATTGTGATAAACAATGGTAATTTTTTACTTTTACATATAATATTCTTAAAGTTTTCAAAATTAGGACAAATAGTATTTAAATATAAATATTTTCTGGTTTATTCTTACTACTATTAATAATATTATTATTATTATATACTATCACCAATTATACATATATTATTATCATTACTATTATTATCATTAATATTATTATTACAATATAATAGATTATTAATTTACGAAACAATCGTGTTTATTGTTGTAACTCGATTTTAAGTAATCCGTTTTCTTACTTCAATGTTAATATATAAAAAAGAAAATGCATTTAAAGAGGATGCAAACTAAGGAGTAAACATTGGAAGTTTTTCAAAAGATTTAACGATAACGCCGGTGTTGGAGTTTATTAAACCTATTTCAGTCGATTTGATGGCTAAAAAGCATCTCGGGAATCCTTTTGGCGCGCTTTAGTGATGTCAATGAGGTGAAAGAGATGGAGAGCTGGCTGGCACAGACTTCATTAATTAAGCGCGCGTTGATTCCACTACGGAAGAGTTGAATCACTACGGTAAAACGTTTTGCGACACTGAGTGACGTCGGCGTATTTAGCCAAGATTGAATCGTGACTCGCAACGAAAGAGCGCAATGTAGAAGCTAGCGCAATATGCTAATGAAATGATAATCGAATTAAAACTCTCGATGAGCCTTTTTAGAAAATTTGATTTAATTGCGAGTGATTCTCTTCCCTGAATCGCTGGAATATCGTGCGACATAGCTCGTGAACGAAATTAAACTACGATTCTATTTATATTATATTTCAATTTGATTTTTTAATTGACTTGTAGAAACGTCGATGATCTCCGGAGAATTAATATTCTCATTGCTGGACACGATTTTGATCCAAACGCAATTTAACGAATGTCATGGAATGATCGAAATATACATGCACAATGGAAAACGAATATTCAGTGAAACACGAAACCTATTTCATTTAGCTGGAATCATGATAGAAAATTGATGACATTTGTTAAACGATGATATGACAGAAAAATTTTTGCTCATTTCCAAAAAAAAAGTTTACAATTACATTTATAATAAATCTAGTATTTTGTTCCTTTTTATCTTCATATTGGAAAGAGCAAAATAATTCGGGTCGTTAAAACCTGCATTTGATTATAGAAGACAATTGAAATTTGACGTAATTGAATAACAGTAGAAGAAAGTTTTAATAGCTCACGTTCTAGATCGAGCTTTCAAATGTATTTATATAAAAGACACAAAACCGGTGGATGTGATACGACATTGTGTAGGAATTATTATTCGATTATGCAAATGCGGAAGTTGGAAATATCATCGCTGGTGCAGATGCTCCTTCAATTAGGCACCGCAAAAACTTCGGGCTCTACTTTTGTAACGCTCGATGACGCAACATCGAGTACGCGTCAGTACCGTTGTTCTCACGCCTCCGACAAATTCCCAAAAGTCTCATCCAATTAATTTATTATTTTCTGATTACAGCGCTCGCGCGTAGCATGTCTTGACGAGTAGGACAGGCGCTTCGACTGGGTTCTCGGTAGATAAGGGTTCTCCATAATGGCGGGCGGTCAACAGCTTCCGGAGCAGTACACGGTACCACAATACGCGAGGATCTTCCACAGTCTGCCGCATCTGAACGTCTCTTTACATTCGGTCAATAATACGTTCAATCCCCACTCCGAGATCTATTTGGAGGTAGGTTCGCTCGGCATGAATCCGTCAATTCTGACTTCCTTGGCCCCGATTGTCATCCCCGATTGCACTCCCTTCGCCTGCAGCCACTATGGTATGCGCAAAATCAATCTCATGGACTTAAACAAAGTGCGTCCTATTAATCGGCCGCGCGTGATCAGAGAAGCCTTTAAGCTTCGCGCGAATCGATAAGCGAATTGTACGGAAAATCTAAATTTTATACGGCCCTTGATGGCAATTTCAAGATAAATATTGCATTCATATCTGGCGACGTGTATATTGATACGTGTGTCGGAACGTCTTCAGGAGAATATCAGCACGCTCGACTTATTTCCAATCTGGTCTGGATGTATTTCCGAAGTAAATGTATGCAACTGATATGATACAAATATTTGATATACAAAATTTCTTATCGCTTTGCAATCTACTTTTGATCGGCTTAAAGATATTTTCCAGCAAGAGATACAAATAACACAATGTAATATAGTGATAAATTTTGAGAAAATGTTAACAATTTTAGACAATTTACAATTTAGAATTAGATGATGAGTAATTATACGAGCGCACTTTTTAAATAATACGTATAAATGGGTAAAAAGAAATACAGGTCGACGATATATATTTATTTGTTTGTATTTTGACTTAGTTTCATATAAAAATTTGTATTAACATACCAAAGCCTAATTAAGGTCAAAACATTTATATGATCATTATATACAGGGTGACTCACAACTATCGCATTTCCTCTTAAGGACATACTCTGGAGGTAATTTTGAGACGAAAATCCTAGTATGAAAATGTCGAGACTATAAAAATTTTTTTAATTATAAGGTAACTTTAAATGCTTATAAGTCAAAAATCATTTTACTTTCATGGCCTCTGTTATTATTTCTTTTGAATATTCTAGGATAAAAATCTTAAAATGAAAACATCGAGGCTATAATAGTTTTCACTATTTTTAATCAATTAAAACTTCTTGTATCTTCAACATTTTTTTATTAGAATTTTTGTTTCAAAATTAGCTCAAGAATAGTTCTTAAGAGGAAATATAATAGATGTGAGACACTGTATATAGTGTGTGTGTGTGTGTGTGTGTGTGTGTGTGTATGTAAGAAAATTTAATTACTCGCAAAAAAGATCTTGCATTGGCTTTAATCTCTTTTCTATTAATTTTTATAACATAGTGAATTCCTATTGTTTAATAAATAAAAATAAAATAATTACTATATTGTACTATGTCTCTTGTTGGAAAACACCATATATGTTGCGCAAATGGACATCAGTATGTTAATCAAGTACTATCTGTTCGAATAGTATCTGTTAATTCCTGTTAGTACTTTGATCTTAGGACATCAAAATTTTCCGGCAGTTATTCCGCGGGATATCCTCTTAACAACCACAAACGTCAATAGCACTTTGGATTATCGCCTTTGGTCGGCTGTAGATTTGCATTATCGGGCCGTAAGTGAAGATCTCGCATCGTCAAACGGATAAGAATCCAGAAAGCGAACGTCTGGCAACGTAATGACTAGAAAAGGTGCCGTATGCTTGTACAGAGTACAAAATCGAAAGGGAAGAAAAAAAAGAAACGATTCATGTCCATGGAAGGTAGCGGGATATATGGCGAGGACACGGGAAAAAAAAAAGATAAAAAGAAAGACAAGAAAGGAGGAGAGGTTCGTGAAGAAAAAAAAAGAAGGCCAGAAGAGGGCAGGTGGATACCACGAACGCGCAAGAATCCGGGCCTCATGAGTGTAACTGGAAAGCACAATGCCTGGGAAAGCTCAAACAATGCACAAAGGCTTTCGCATAATATGCCCGGGGCAACTTACGGCAGCGGGCTTCAACATCTTCGGGAACTACGTTGGACCACGTCGGGCACATCCTGCTCTCCCTTCGTCGTGTTCTCCGTGTATTCCTCACACTTTCGTTCCCTCTTCTTCCTTTTTCGCCTATCTTCCTCAGCCGTCGAAGTCGGGTGGACTTAGGGTGAGGTATAACCACTGACGAAGGAGGTGGGCCCAAAACTTTTTGTCTCGCTAGTATTCGCTTTCGTCATGCATGCGGCTCGACGGGGTGGATTGGCGAAGCTAAGACCGCCGAGAAATGAGATAAAAGCCTCGAGGGAGGCAGGAAGAGAGCGGTAGAAGTTACGAGACGGTCGTAAGTGCGGCTCGTACGAAGTAAATACGTAAATGCGCCTGAAATAGCGTTGCAATGCGGTTCTTGACGATGCTGATAATATTTCCGTTTTAGAGTAGGAAGTGAAGGCGAGAAAATTTTTGGCGCGATACCAATTTTTCGACGTTATTTGTTTGGACGGTCTATTCTTCGAATCTTCACGTTGAGAAGACACAAGGAAGCTTTTTCTTTAATTAAATTTCAAATCAGATATTTACTTTCAAAAAACTTTTTACCAGATAAAGAACGGGCAATTGTTAATTCTATAAAATTTGATGGATAAAATCTAACACTCTAAATTTCTTATAATAAAATCTTATTCCAAGAAAATGAAAGTATAATCATTCTTCACTTCTTGAAAAAGAGTGACAATTTTCGCTTTGTTTTAGAGTGAATTTTTACTTCGAAGGAGTGAAATCTCACTCCAAAAAAGTGATTGTATTTTCATCCTCTTGGAATAAGATTTTACTGCAAGAAATTTAGAATAAATAAATGGATTTTATATTTGGATGTCTTTAAATCTCTTTAGTAATTTAATTTCTTTTATAAGAGTATAAGTAAAGTTTACGTAAAGTAATAAAGTAGGGAGAAAATCCATGATCGATGTAATGTTTACAGAGCCTCGGGATACTGGGAAGTATTCCGGCAGCCTGGTTGATCTTAACTTTACTGGTATTGCTGGTTTATTTGGTAACAAGATGCTGCGACCGGAGGCCGCGCCCCAAGAAGTCGATAACCGCGCTGAAGTGTTCGCTGGCCATCCTAGCGTTACTCTGTAGTGGAGCAGTGGCTGTTGGTCTTTATGGCAACGACGACGTACACAACGGCTTGGTACAACTCATAGCAGCTGCGAAAAACGTTGATGGGATCCTTATGGGTGTCAGAAATCAGGTATTGCCTATTTATTTTTCACAGTGTCTTAATATTGTTTATCGTAATATAATATATGTAATAAAAAATGTTTATTACATACATTATATTACGATAAACAATATTAAGACATAGCAGTAATCAAAAATTTCGGTAAGCATGCATATAGATTTTAAAAGTAAAGATCACAAAAAAGAGAAAAATTATCCTTCATTTTTTATTAAAAAAACATTTTTTGATGTTTATTAGAATTTTGTTTAGTGTACGCGTATAAATAGACACTGACCTGATTTAGATAATTTAAAATAGTTTAAGCAATTAAGTAGCAACAATTAAAAATAATTGTTATATTTAAGTATCAACATTATATATTTCTTACAGACTGACACTATAGAAGCGACTCTGAAGAGAAAAGTGCAGCCGCAACTGACTGCTCTCGGAGATGAATTCGATGCTCCGGTCAGTAATAAAACTATGCTAAGTTGGCTGCTAGCGGCACTTAATGGCATGAAGCAAAATACGAGCATCGCTGTAAATCGGAGTTTTGAGATACGAAAGCCTTTGAGTGGTATTAGTCTTGCCGGCGCCATTGGGATGGGTGAGAAGATCGAGCAGTTGCGATGGCCTATCACTATGGCGGTCCTCAGCGCTCTACTTGTCCTCTGCGTGGTTCTGGTGGTCGGTGTTGCACGGCACTCCAGATGTGTTCTCATAACGTATGTTCCTTTGATCGAAATAAGAGTAGAAATTTTTCGGCGGTATTCCTCATATAGCATTTTGTATCTTTGTTTGCATTTTTATTATATTTTACACGTTTGAATAAAATCATTTAAAATCGTAACAAAATTTAAGCAGAGGAATAGGTCGTCTTCTATACATTTATAAATTATTCTGTAAACACATCTATAGTCATAAAATCATAAAGTCACTCTAATAGATTATCTTTTCAGATTTTCCGTATTCGGCTTGTTTGCGGTTATCGTCTCTTGGCTCATGGCATCCTTATACTTGGCAACTTCTGTAGCTCTAGGTGATCTTTGCGTCTCACCTGATGGTTATTTGAGTAGAGCCGTACCATCTACTTTAGCTTCCGAGGTACTCTCATACTACACGCATTGCGAGAACACGCGCAGCAATCCGTTCACGCTGAGATTGCGGGACACGCAACGTGCGGTGGATAACATGAGGCATAACTTGAACACGGTGACTAAATTAGCTCTAGAACTGTTCAAAGATCAGCAGCTTCAGCCAAAACTCAGCAGTTTATCCACAGACGTTAATACCATAGACAGACTCATGCCAGGTTTATCCACGTTACTCGACTGTAAACCTCTGCACAAACAATACGTTCATGCCGCCAAGAGTTTGTGTCACTTGGGATTGTAAGTCGATATCTTCTTATATTTTAATTATAATTCGGAAAAATTAAATAATTGTTTGTATTTTAATTAAAACGATTTTACATGGAAATATAAGCTTATAATGCTTCTCTATAATGTGTTCTAGGTATGGATTGAGTTTCATGCTAATAGCCAGTTTAGCTGCAGGTCTCTTATTCACCGTATTGGTTTGGGTGGATTCTCATACGTGGATATACATACGAAAACGGTAAGTACTTAGCGGGAATCATTTAAAGAGAGAAGGGAATTAAGTATAATTTTATTTTTATATTTTGCTATTAATTTTACAATGCTAAAGCAGGCACCGTAGAAGCATTGCGTTCCTTTCTAAATTTTATCTGCTGAAAATTAAATAACCAATACATTTGTTTCAGAAGGGATTATCATCAGGTTGACGAGCAAGATCCTTACTTACCACCATCGGCGGCGTCACAGGCGATAGCAGCAAGGACCCTTCGAGGCCAAGGGTCGTACCCGCCTACAGCCCCTACGCTTAATTCGAATGCTCTTGGCACTCATAACACGATTAAGCAGCCTCTCTTGCTAACGCCGCCCCCACCGTCCTACGCTACTGCGACTGCTCGAGCACGTCAACTGCACGAGAGCATGTTAAAGTTTGTGCATGAGATTTTCAGTTTCTCTTTTAATTTATTTAGCTTAAGAGATATCAATTAATATCGCGCTAAACATATTAGATTCAATGCGTCTCCTTTGAATGTTGCTTTATCATACATAGTTCCATCATTATTAAGAATACAATTTTTTATCGATATTTATATATTAGTATATGCTTTTTGACGAAATATACGTGATGAAATGTATTGCATCATATAAATAACTGTGCCATTCTTAATTTTATATTTGATGTGTTTAATTATATATTTTAAATATCTGTTTTTGAGACATTAAGCATTTCAAAACAGAATATTATTCTTAGCAAATAACAGTTTTGATTGCTTTACACAATATTGTTACAAGAAATAGTATAGCGTGCTTTTTTGTAATCCTATTTTATTAACATAAATATAATATATAGACAGTTTTGCAGGCGTGATTGAATTTGGATTTATGTTTAGATAAGCTGTAAAACGATGTCGGTCATTATGTAAAACAAAGATAATGCTGCAACTTTGTTTGTTCTTCCTCGCCATTTACAGAGGTGGGGGTGTTAACGGGAGCGGAGGGGGCGGGGATCACAAATCGTCTCAGCATAATCAGCAATCAACGGGTGGACGAACTGAACACCGATCTGGACTCGGAGATCAACCTGGCCAGTACGCGACTCTGAGCAAACAGTGCAAGACGCTAGAATCTAGTGACTTCTACTGAGGGCACGCCCCCGCAGGGCCCGGTAAATACAAACATTAATACTCTTACGCGTATGTAACGTATGTAATTCATCTTTACATCTGTATTATTACATTTCATGTTACAGGTAGAGAACCACCTTGGACGCCCAGCGTGGCTTCCTTCACCGGTACCCTGTCTCATAATTCGCACGGGCCCGCACATCTTGCCACTTTTCAGGATTCGCGAAAGACACAAACGCTGGATCCGAAGAACCTGGCCAATCTAAAGAGGGGTCCGACTCAGGCCTGGAATCAAAATCGACCGCTTCCACCGAATCCCGCGAGTCAGCAGCCTACGTGGGAGTTCGAGTCACGCTCGCAGACTAATATGAATCAGTTTCGATCGTTGGTGCGGAACAAGGCGCCTAATATTCGCATTCAAGATCAAATGCAAGATCAGGTCAGAACTTTGGATAGAAATTTCTCGCGTAGCCAGTTCAACGGTACTACACCGCAGAACAACACGGTGCCGAATATGTATGGTACATATAATCGAGCGCAGGGAAGGCAGGAGAAGCCGACGGTGGCTACGTTGAGTCAGGTACAGGGTAGTGATCCTAATCTGTATGCTGTAACGGAACTCTAATCGTCGAAAAGGAAGAGAAGATGCGAAATCATAAGTATTTGCAGAATAGAGGCATCGTTGACAAAGAGTTTTGTCTTTTAACAAAATTCAGAACATGCGATTTGGAGTTCCTATAAAATAAGAGAAAAAGAAAATGATAAATTGATTTCAGAGACCTGCGATAAAAGTGAGAGAAATCATGGGGGAGGGGGGGGGAAGGGTGAAAAAGATTTTTAGAGAACTTAGGAACTTGTGTGAGACATACTTTATATCCGAGATTTTGTACTTGTATATCATGTACAGTGATTGTGGTACGTCCTTCTATGTTATTCTCCCTCTTTGTTATCGCGTTCTTGATTAGACCGCGCGCAAAGTATCCAAGGACATGGAATGCATATTTAAACGTATGCAATTATATTGCTTGTTGGCCGACTTGAAAGCTGCATGAGCAAACATGCACGAAAGAAATCTTCACACGAAGTTTTACACTGATATCGTTTACAGAGATACTGCTCGCTTGTTCATTCTAAATTAGCCGTTAATTTCGCGTGTGATGTTTAACCAACGAGTTAGATATCGTGACTTGAAGGAGACACCAAAAGACGATGAAGGAACTACTAAAATACGGTTTTTATATACTTTTTACATTTTAACCGAACGAATCTATGTTGAATTTTCCGTGAGAGATATTTAATATACTTTATATGTGTGTGAAAACGTATACATATACATCTAGTTACCGCACAGAATGTCTGGTGATTTTTACGGGACTCTTTGGCAGAATTCGATTGATCATAGGTCACGCTCGATACTGCCAATGCTCAGGCGAATATACTTTTTAAGTACAAAGACAGTGGTAGCGCAGGCGTTATGGGTTTTCAGTTTTTGTGTGCAAACGAAAAAGAATTGAAAAGGAAATGGATGTGTCCAACGTATCGATAAAGGATATTTGGAAACATACTTCCACAGGCGGTATTAGTTAAAAATACTCTTTTTAAAGACAGTAAGGAAAAATTAATCTGTCGTAAAAAACTAAATCTTATTATACTTTGTAAGAGTCGAGAATGAATTTTCTGCGGAGCGCAGTCTTCCTGAGATCTTCTGTAACATCAGAGATATACCGAGTATATCAGGCAAAGAGAATATCTGGCGATTATTCGGTACTCGTTGAATCCAAGTGCCGGAGAAGTAAATGTTGTGCTTGAATAATAGCCAATTGATCAAGCGTTTACTATTACAAGTATCAACGGTTGAATATTGGCAATTCTTTTTCAATTGTCACGGATGTCTATCCCCGATAATATTCGGTACATCTCTCTTTCTCTTTATAATTGATTATTATCTAAAAATTTGTAAGAGTTGATAGAGATTTTCAGCAATCGCAAATGATTTTGTACTGGCATCCGCATATAATTCAGTAAGTTTGTATATAAAACAATAACTTAAGATTATTGAGTAAACGTGAAAAGTGTGATAAAACCGAATCTAGATGTTATTACGGATTTTACGTGGAAGCATTTTGCCATTCTTTTTTTATTGACAATTTAACCACGACTTTCGATTGCGGAAAGGGAAATCGTGCCATTCCAGGAATATATGCATTTAACGCAAACTACTTTCCAGGATTTTCTTAGGGCTTGTGTTTAGTCGAGTAAAAATCAATTATATAATCGCAATACCAAGCATTTTAAGAGCGTGAATAGCAAAAGAACTTAATCCAATGTAAATAATTGTAATATTTATTACAGAGCGATAGCTCGTAGACTAGTAGCATATAGTTTAGTTAAATGCTAATTTAAGTTTCGACGATAAATATATAAATGTGTGCACGCTGCTACGTGCGCGTAATAGCAAATGAACGAATATCGTTTTGTTCACTTTGGAGATGAAGAAGTATCCTAGTCAGTATATAAAGTTGTGTACATTCATTAATAAGATCTCTTGCCAAATTTTTAACCCGGCTCAATTTGAAGAAAACGAAAAAAAAAAAGATAAGACACGTAAAGAGGAATCTTTTTTCTCAAAGAATATTTGTATCGTCACTATTAATACGTACGAAAACTATATTAGTGCGTCGTTGCCCCTCGATATATGTTCTAGATTTTAAGAAAAATTGCTTATTGAGAAAGTTTACAAGTATAATCCAACTTCAGTGTTTTAGCACAGATATGCGTATCCGTAATATGTTACTATTTGTTGTACATCTCGATTATTTTTCTTATTTGGTAAGTATTTTTACTTTTCGTTTTTTGATCCGCCACGGTATCGATTTACATCAGAAAAATAGAGATTTTTTTTATTTTTATTTATTTGATATAATTTACAATTTATTTTTTTTACATTGTTTTTTTTTCTTTTTTTTTAAATAACTCATAAAACACTGGAGATGGACGTCTTCAGATACTGTATAACCTTGGTTACTCGAGATTTTACAGTAAAGCGCGCAAAAACGGGATCAACATAGTATTGTTCAGATTAAAGACCTGCAAGTAAACACGTCGTTTGTTAGTCAATGAGAAAATTGTGCTAAAATATTTCTCTGCTAGAAGACATTTGACCCGCGCTCAATGATTTGGGCAAAATTGACGAGACTTACAGGCGATCGAGGAACCCGTTTAACACGTATTTTAAAATAATCTAGAACACAGAAAACGTTGTTAAACTCTTAATATGAGAATTTGTAATTTAGATGATTGTTAACAGAACCTTTATTGTAATCGTTTGTCAATTTTTATAGTAGAATCGAGAGTCTGAGGCACATTGCACACCAGTTTTTCTAACGAATAAAACAGCATTTAAGTTATTCATCATTTTTATACGGTAAATGTAATGTGGTATAAAAGAAGGCGAGAGCATCTGCGCAACAAACACGAACAAAAGAGGAAAGGAGATCAGGATGATTGAGAGAAAAAGAGAATATGTGAGCGAGTGTATACGTCTATTATATACATATATGTGTATGCGTGAGAGAAGAAGAGAGAGAAAGAACGGAAACTCATTATTTTCAGAGATAATGGGAGTGATGTAATGATATACGACATTGAGGAACTCATTCGAATTGGAGCATTTTCTTGGCCTACGGCAATTTTTCATCGCAGAAAAAAAGGATGATATAGTTAATAAACGAAAAATCAAAAAAAATTTCGCAGAATTCGATTAAATATTATACGCACATCGACAGATATGGATATATGACAGAAAGAAAAAGGAAAGGAACACGGGAGACCTAAGCTTTTGTGCACCCTTTAAGACTGATACTGGATACGTCGAAGAATCCAGGGCTCTAATATTTTTTCCGTATATTTATATATTGTATAAGTATATAATATTTTACACGTGTTCGGTATAGGATGTGATGGATCGTTCATTTCTGTCATAGGTCTTTGTGTGTCTATCTTCTGTTCGATATTTTCTCAATTTAATTCCTGACGTATCTCTCGCTACATCTATTAGTGAAAGTATATAGATAGTATATAATACTATCTTCTCTTTTTTGCGTATTTCTCTCTCACTGCGCGAAAGAGATTTATTTACAAAGTATATGTAGAGGCTACTCGACTATACTCCAGAGAACTTACGTAAGTTATAACGTTCTATTGCGTCTTTCTTTATATGTGCGGTTATTATGCGAATTTTGATGTAATATAAAGACTTATCTCGAAGATATGTAGGAGACAAACGAAGAATGAACGAAGCTCGTTAATCGATACCACTTTTTGTATATTACGATTGTGTCTAATTGCCATATTCCGAATTTAATTCCTCCTATTGTAACGGAACATGAATATTATAAAAAGAGAAATAAAAACATAAGATCCATAATTATTGCATTAGTATCATATCGCCGTATCTATTACATAATATGCCGCGAGAAGATTTCGATTCACATTTTATATTATTTATTCATTAGCAATACTTTATTACAAGTTTGGTACATAAATATACATACGGCTTGATTTATTTGCATCTTCGGTATTTTTCAACAATTTATGAATAATCTAATGCAGTATATTTATTTATTGATCTTGATCACTGAAATATTTCCCTGGTGTTACCATCAATTACATAATACAAGAGCAACAATATGGACTTTTTTTCGATGGGTGAATATATATAAATTTCTTTGGCAAGTTATTACATCTTTCCAATATCAGAATGTTTTTTCTATTATATATTTTCATTCAAGTATTTTCAAAATCTCTTTCATAAAAGGTAAAATGTACATATAGCTTATTTTTAATGGATAAAGTAAACATATTATATAGGTTCTTATTACTTTACTTGCAATATTGTGCTTAATGAAGACATAAAACTTAACAAATGTGAACTATCAATTTGAAAATTAGCAAGCAGTTTAAAAGAAGCAAAAATCCGCGAATAAAGAATTCCTTTTAATGGTGAAAAAATTAAATATACATCTTAACTACTAACTAATGAGCTAATAGTTAAAGTGTGTAATATTATACAAAGAAAAACTATTCAACAATAAATAATTTTCTTGCAATATATTCTTTTATAGATTAGCTATCGAATTGGTATTAATAAAGTATGAGAAGAAGAGATAACCAAAATTAGAAGAGAAAATTATTTTATTTTGGCCATTGTGCTCGCAAGAGGTATTTCAGTAACTTATGAATTTAATTATAAGAGCGAGGCTACTACGTGGTATCAATCTAGTAAGTACATGGATCACCACATGATTAAGTCATGCTCGCTTAATAGCACAAATAATAAAGAAAATTTTCGAAATTTGAGGAAAATGTTTGCGAAAGCATTATTTATATATTTAAAAGCAAGAAATATCTTCGGCGAGAAACAGCCAGTTAAAAGTATCAGCAGCAAAATAAAATTAAACCATTACATGTATCTTGTTCTATTTAACCAAATCGATAAGTTATACAAGTTACAATCTAATATTTCGCTAAAGATTGCACCTCCTAGAGGGAACGTTTTAGCGTTTCAGAAAAAGCATTTTTATTCCAAGTTTAACAACTCGAAATCATGTCTTGATTCATTGAAAGTAGTACAATATTTACTACGACTTCGTTTGCGTGGATTCTTCCTTTACTTGGAGCTGAGAACTGACATTGCTTATTAAAGGTACATTCTTACCACTTTGCAGGCTAGAATGACTCGACGATCGACTATGGCTTTGACTGTTAGCACCAACTGGCGTTTGCACTAAAGGCTGAGGCGGAGTTCTGGCGCCAGAACCATTACTGTTTGTAAAATTAGGTTGCAGCTGCATATGGTACTTGTAGATATTTTCCGTACTCTCCACGACACCTGTTTTAATAAATATTGTCTAAAATAATCTTATTGCGATTACCCTAAATATTCCTATCCTTCAGGAAAATATGATTATGATAAATAAATGCTTGTTATATCGAAACTATAATTACCAGCTTGCAAGTTTAGACTACGGCCGCGGACACCTGTTTCCTTCGAAATAGGACTCCACCAATTGACGAAAGTTCCTACTACGGGAACATGCCTGAGAATACCCTCCTGCCATAGTTTCTCTGCGTTTTCCCTCTCTAGATCTGTTTGCGCCGTCTCGATACCTCTCTTAACTACTTCCGAGATAGTATCCATCATTTTAGAACTAGCTTCCACTTCCTGGCCAACTTGTAAGACTAAAGATAACAATTCAGCCACATCTGGAAATAATATAATTCGATGAAAGAGGAGGCATATATATGGAATGATAATATTGCTGAAAGTGCGTTTACCTGTATCTTGTGTTACCATGCCAAATCGCACGCAAGCTAAACCATCCGCACCTTCCCCGAGGGAAAATGCGGCATCCGTGCTGCGCAGGGTTTCGACCAATTGTGTATTTAGTTTATTCAATTCTTCTTTTGACTGATCAGTCATAACTTGAATCCAAGTAGGTGGAGCATAACGCACACCTCCCAGACCGGCCCAACCTGGCATTTCCACTAAATGTAAATAATCATTTTCTGAGACTAAACGTAAGAAGGTGTCTTTATGTTCCACTGTTGCCAATAATATTTCCTGTTGAACGAAATTATGATTGTATTATTAACAAGTTTACGATTACCGTAATCGTAAAATGCGTCATATCCCTCCGTGCTTTCAATATTAAATGCAAGAAGAAAATTTGCTAAATGAAATTACTCATAAAAAAAGAGATCAATGAATCATAACGATTATTGTTTCATACCCGATAGGAATATTGTGATTCAAAATGTCCTTACTATTTGTTGCTCAAGGAAGGTTACTAAATTATCTATATCTTCGCTTGTGGGTGGTTGATCAGGATTCTCTAATGGGCAAATGCGAATCGCGATACCGCACTGTTCTATATCACAAAGTTCTATTTGTATATTGTCAATATCCCTCTGAAGAATTTGTCCCAACCAGGAATTCAACTTATCATAATAAGGCAGCACGCGATCTGTGACTTGAAGATCCCCATTCGAAGATACGAATTGGAAAACTAATGAGTTGGCTACTACTTCAAATAATTGTAAATTGTTCACGGGGTTTGCTAGATATTCACTTAAGGTATAGGACTCCGTTTCGCCGCCAGGCGGTTGACTCTGAAAAAAAATAAATGATAAATTTTTGACAACGGGACGCCTTTTTTGAAATATGCACTTTTATAAAAACTCACCACTATTCTAATACAAGAGAACCCTTTAATTTTATTATACATCTCTTCCACAGCCAAAAAACATCTTTTAAATCTATTATGTACACCGTCTCGACCCAAAGCCTGTAAAACAGTCCACAAAGGCAAAGTCGGTAATCGTCTCGACAAGGAATCCGCCATCAATCCTGAAACTAACGACAGAGTAGTATCTCTCGGAGTGGGCCTTCCTCCTTTAATATCTGCTAATCTGTACAAAGTCTGTAAGTAAAAATTAAGGAAAATCGGAGCAATGATTGATTAGTGTAATATATATAACAAATAATTAAATATCAAAGGAATATATAATTAAGTTATAGCGAGTATAATGTACTATAAGTATAATGAGAGATATACAATATCTTAGGAATCTTGGAGTATTCTAATGTTCTAGTTTAAATTATAATTATTATAATTATATTTATTATAATTATTATAGTTATTCTATTAAATTAAAAAAAAAATGTGGAAGGATACAACCACTGGTAGCGATGGTATACCGAACCATGTTCCAAGCGGTAATGTAATGCTGTCCGCTATTTTCGACGGCTGTAATATGAAAAGATTTTTAGAAAAATTCTTCAAAAGTGTTTGGCGATGTTAAAGATCTTCAAACTTTACTAAAACGATAAACTATACAAATATTTACCAAATCCTTCGCCGAATTGTTCAGCGCTAGCGCAGCTAACGAATGTCCTCTGAGATGCAGCCAGACGTTATATTTGTCACATATTGCTCGTAATCGCGTGATATTATCGCAATGGCCCGTTAATACAGAACCGGCTTCGGCTAGGACTAGCAATGGCGTTACATTATTTGATTGAGTGTCTTCTGCTAAGCGTCGTTCCAGCGCTGAGACATCCATAGTATGCCTCGATCCGAACATAGTGTTATGCGGGATTGGTCTTATGCAATGAAGCGGTAAGGAAAGCTGCAAAAGTACAACAAATCTTTAATGTGTTGTATGCGTTCAATCAGTGTTTCTCTAAAGAGATTCTTTTTTTAAACAACTTTCTTTGTTTACAAAGAATTAATATTTACAAATGTTCTTGTGTTATAATGTAATATTCAAGCTTATAAATTGAATTTTTATATTCATCTCGAACATTTAAAAGGAAAGATCGAGGAGTGCTACCTGTCTGCACAGATGTTGAACAACACCCATGGGTGCAGCAACGGAGCTGTAAATCAAAGGAGGTTGAGACACGAGGGCGGTGAAACCCTCCTCCATGTAACGTGGGTATTTCCGATGTAGAGCGAGTCGAGTCACCCTGACCAGCCCCTCGAGATGATCTTCGTGGAAGGAGGACGCGCAATCCACGAAACGGAAGATGTGGCTGAGCCATCTCGTCGTGTCGGCCGCGAGACGACCCGCGAGCTTCTGCGCGTGTGGCTTCGGTAGCGCTACCGCGTAAGCCGAAACGGTGTGCGTGATTAAGGCCAATTTCGCCGCTTCGCTTAGAGCTGGCAAAGGGGTGATCTGACTGATAGGCGAATCTGTAGATCCTGTCTCGGCTGGATGCGGAGCATCCTCGTAAACTACCAAATCCTAAACAAAAATTTCTGGTGAGGAGATCTATGTTTTTAGCTTCTTATAATTGATTCCTTTTTTTACATAATACAACACAAGCTATATATTTAATAAATAATCTAATAACGAATTTGGTCACATTATACTAAATTATTGTGAATATTAAAAACTGTAAATATGTGTGTAAAACATATAAATATTTTAAACGATTAATATTAAGTATACAATAATGATATTGTCATATTAATTAACAGGCTATACATATATTATTTCATAGTCAAAGTTAATTACATTATGCTACTGCATTTATATTGTATATTTTATATAAAGCAGCCTTTAATGTGTTAATTAATGTTAATCTAATGTAGTGCAAGTGACCTAATTCATCATAATAAAGAGAAAATATTTTTTGTAATTAATTTATATTATTTAATATGTCAAATAATTTATATCATTTAATATATCAAAGTGTGTCTGAGGAAACATAATTTAATGTACATTAGCATAATATATACGATGAAGACAATATTTAGTTTATTAAACCGTAACAGAAACATACATTTTTCGATATTAAAAGAACTGATGAAATTTAAATGTATATCTTATAATTTACACTCGAGTTATGCATGAGAACATAAATTTTTATTATCTCTAATCTCCTAGCAATAATCAACAAGATACATAAAGTACAAAAGAACAAAATCTTTATTTATGATAAGCTTTAAAGAAGAATAATATCGAGAATAATAATCTCATAAATAGAAAGTTTATTATTAGTTTTATTTTGTAAAAGAATTTTTTCAGTTCAGAACTGTGAAAAATAAAATTGCAAAATACATAATTATTCAAATAATTACTATTTAAAAATTAGGAAATCTCCGGATCACCGAGACTCATGTTCCAATTAAGAATAAATAAAAAATATCAAAATTAACTAAAGAAGAAAATGCATACATTTTTCCAGAATTATATATGCTGCAGTAATACGGATTATATAATTTCTATTTCCTATTTTTATAAATGAATGAAAAGAACGAATTTATTTCGAATTTGCGATTATGCGAATCGAGACCTTCTATCTTTGACCTTCTCTGTTTCCGAAATTATTCTAGATTCAAGAAGCTTTCAGTTTTACAAAAAATCAAATAAACTATCAATCTTTACTCCTTAAGATACAAAGTTAAGAAATAAATTTCTATCTGTTATTACAACTTCGAAATCAGGATTTGAAAGATACAAAAACATAAAAAAAGGAAAAACAATAATAGAAGAAAAGAAACTAAAAAAAAAAATGAAAAACAGTAATAAACACCGTGATGCAAAAACTACGATAAGAGGAAGTAGTGACAAATCAGAAATTCGAATTTACGTCGTTTCCCAGCGAATACACATGAGCTGTATGTATATACAAACATGAAGAACGATACTAAACACAGCTCCCACGTGACATGTAATTATCGTGGCAATCGCACTATCAGCAGTGACCAACGAGCGACGTGTAATCAAGTTGGCCGTGCTCCAATCGCACGCGCCGGTTTCCGCTGACCGAACGTAGGCGCGTAAACGCGGCCCACACCACCACACCTGTATCAACACCAATATCTCGTCCGGTTTCTTTGGCTGCGTCAGGAATCCTGAGGGGTTGTTCCACGTGGTGCCGCCGCCGTCGGCCGCCCGTTCCACCGCTCGCTCCAACCTTGCGATCACCTGCGACGCCTGGAACTGCAATGCACCCACCTCGCCCGTCGTCGTGCTCGGCGAACCATCGCCACCGTCGTCGCAGTCACCGGTGCCACCGACCTGTCAAAATCGAAGAAACACCCACTGGGTTAACCTTACGAGCGCCGTTGTCGCACGACACGACGCGCGATCGCGATCACTCACGTCGCCGATCGTCGCGATTCGCTAAATCCATTAATCGCCGCACGAGTACGCACCTCCGATATATTTTGCGCTATACTTTCCATCGTCGCGTTATCGTTTGTGTCAGTCTCCTCGGCCATCGTGGCAGTAGTCGTGGCCAGCAGTACCGTCCCGTCGCGCCTCTGACGTTGGCTTGATTTGGGTTCCGGTTAACGATCGATCGACCGCATACTTGAATATGGGAATTTTGTCCCGATACTCCCACATAGCTGAGACGAATGTAGAGCATAGCGGAATAAAATTGTCTGGAATTTTTGCGAATTTTATCAAGAATTGCAGATGCGAGAAGAAACGGGGCCCGGTGAGTGTATGAGACGGTACTTGCTTTATCGATATGGTCGCCGCAGCGCCATTCGTTCAATTCACGAATATCTTTCTGCGTCTGATTGCGCTCTTTTTTTATCGCGAAAAAAGTAAGAGTTTGCACATTCGAACGAGCAATATTTTAAACTTTGCTTATTAAACACATGTTAGTTTACTGAATATCAGATGTAGTTAATTATTATTATTTATAACAATCTCTTATTACTCTATCATATAACTTTTTATCCCTACATCTTAATCGCTTATCTATTAGCGAATATTTGTTCCGCACAGATAATCGCGATAAAGTCTAATCTAAAATTAACAAGGATTGGTAATATTGCAAAAACAATAATACTGTATAATAGATACATATACATATATATATATATATATATATATATATATATTATATATATATCAATTATTTCTCTATATTGTGTAACATTTTATATTTAATATATTTTTTGGATAAAATATTAATATAGAGAAATATTAAAATTTTTTAATATTTATATTTAATATTTACAATGATAAAAATTTCATTAATGGTAAAATATGCAATAAAAATAAGAACATAATTTTTAATAATAGTAGAAGAAAGGAAGTAGGTATGTTGTATAAGTGAATGTAAATTTTTATTATAACATTATATTTACGTAACAATATATGTATTCACACATACGATTTATATAATTTGAATTGTAGCACCGACCTTGGTGAGAGCATCTTTCAATTTCTCGGCTTCGTCTTTCGCTATATCCGCTTTCACTATTGTAGGTGCGCTTTCAACGAACTTTTTGGCCTATTTATATGAGACAATTTTTATGTAATATCATTTTTATTATTATACTATCATTTTTATTATTTTTATTATTTTCAAAGATTCAATACCTGAACAAGATTTGTGCCTGGTAACAAGTTCTTCACTTCTTTGATTAGCGCTACTTTCTGTTTGTCATCAAACGCCATTAACTTAACAGTGAACTCCGTTTGTATTCGCTTTTGTTCTACTTCTTCTTCCTCCTAACAAAAAAAAATTACAATTGTTTGCTTAAACTCTATTTAAAAGATTTTACATATGACAAAAAAGTCCAATTCTATTCTCTATCACTTATCTTTTAATTCTCTAGAGCTGATAATGAAGCTACTGAATTTAAATTTGTAAACAATGTTAAACAATTTAATTTCCTTTATCTTACATCTATAAATTTTTTACTGAAATATACTCTCTCTCTCTCTCTCTCTCAATATTTACTTTTTATAAAAGTTATTTGATTTTTTTTTGAAATTAATTAGTACCTTTTAATTAACACAAATTAAATGGATCTTACAGTGTTATGGCAAATTCGATTGGAAGCACTAGTGTAGATATTAAAGCCATTGTACACTGATTTATTTGAGTATAAAAATGAAATGCAAATATTTCGAATTGTGAAGTACATATTTTACCTAATAGTACAATAAAATATATTGAATATTTCATGATTTAATTGATTTCTGTGTTTATTTATAAACATATCTTTACATTATTTTGTATATGATGGCTTATGTGTACCAGTGTGTATTAAGTGCATCCAATTGAATTCGCTATTAGTAACTGTTACAGAGTTTGGCATCAGCTCTGGAGTTGATTAAGTAAAACCTCCCTATTTTTTATAAATATATTCCATAGAACAAGATTCATACAAGAGCACATATACAAGATATCATGACAATTACCGAAGCCTGAGATGCAGCAACAAATCCTCCAACAGGCATAACAGGTGCATCTGGTAGATTCAATCGTTTTTTTAATAACTCGCTAAGCTTTGCTACTTCTATCAGATTAAGAGCGGTGATGTCATTGGCTATTTTGTCAATTTTTGGATGTACCGATTTCTCAACATCAGATGGAGAAGGTGGTGGTGGTGATGCTGCTGCTGCTTCTGTCGCTGCTGCTGCACTCGATTCCGTTTGTCGGACAACACTATATAAATACAATAAATACAATGAACACATGAAATAAAAAAAGCTAAAAATATTACTGCAAACAATTTTAACAGAATTAATCTTTTCTTTAAACTAATCGGAGTTTAATCAAAGTTCGTTTGGTCCTCATAATAATAGGTGAAAATGAGATAAATTATTTAGGTTATGTAGGTTTTATTTAGGTTATGTAACTGTCTCGTTTACGATTTTAATCTTACCATTTGTGAAATCGACGGAATTGAGGCAGACTTTGTCGAGATATCAGGCGAATTGTGTTAATCATGTCGAATCGAAACAGTTGCAAATTAGTTGCAAATGTGTTTTCGTAAAAATGTAAGGTAGAATCAATTCGATCGCTGCTATCCGGTGCAACAACTCAAAATGATTCGCCTAGGGACTTGCTGTCGATTCCAAAGAAACTAGAACTTTATGATAGTCGTTCGAGATTACTAGATTTCAAACTAGTCATAAAATTATGTCATTTTATTGATCGGATAAAAATTTCTTTTTTCGACTTTGAGTATCTTCGACCCTTTGATCAATTTAATCTGTTCAGTACATTATTTTATTAATAAGTAATAAAACTATTGAATTAATTAATAAAATTATTAAATTAATTAGTAGATTTATGTTTGATATACTAATGTAGATTAATAGTGCTTGGATGTCAGTAAAAAGTAAACGATAGCTGGGCTAGAACTCTACGCGCAATAATAAAACAAAATACAAATATACGCATATAGTTACAAAATAACACTGATAGATTTTTGATTGCTGAAAGTGTGTCACGTCAAATTAAAGAAGAAAAAAGAAGCAAGTACATGTTTTATAGTATTATAATGTAATTTTTGGCTCATATTTGCGCCAACCTGGGTTGAATTAATGACATTTCGTGGTCTCTTATTGGTAGAGCGAGTAACGTAAACAAATAGTAAAGCATTTTCCAACCCAGGTTGATGCAAACCCGATCGGGCCGAAAACGCTATTATATTGCATAATAATATTTGAGATTGTGTTGGTTATTGTTAATACTGGGATTTATGGCATCTTCGGCCTGATCAGGTTCACAGTAACCTGGATTGAATTAATGACGTTTCGTGCTCTCCTATTGGTAAAGCGTGTAACATCAACCAATAGCAAAGCGTTTTTCAATCCAGAGTCGGTATCGATCGTGTACTTTTTCTCTTAGGGCGGAAACGTGAAAAATGAAAATTTTTTGTATAATGTGTATATATATATGCATAATTCCAACAACACAAAGTCTAAAATTGTGACATAAGACGTCTTCAAGTTGTTTTTTAGACGCAAAAACCGTCTTATAACGCGATTTCTTATTCGACATAATGATTTACACATTGATCGTCAATCCATATCTGTTAGTTTAGCAAGAGCAACAGGATTCAACAAAATTCAAGTTGACAGATTCTATAAAAATCTTAGAATTAAATGATAAATACAAATTTAAACTGTATCTATAATATGGATGAAGTCGACATGAATACATTTTCAAAAAAAATTTCAAAAGTCATATCAAGTAAGAAGAAAAAAGTTGTTGATGAATTAGTATCATTAGAGTCAAATATCACAATCACAGGCATTTGTTGAGTGCATCAGGTCATTTTATTCCTCCGGCTTTCATCTATCCCCGAAAATGCTCTGACACTGAATTATTAGAAAGTGAACTAACTGGTTCAGTTTGTATGGTTTCAGACAGTGCTTATATTAACACGAACTTAATTTTAAAGTGCGTCACTTCAAAAAATACGCACAAATTTTGTATAAATAAGTGCAAATTTTGTATTTTTTATTTTAAAATACTTTCTCAATAATGTATTAGGTGTTGGAATTAATTCGTAGCGTTTTTTAATGAAAGAATGTTATTTATTTCACATGAGCATTAAAAAATACATTAATGAAAGTACTTCCCATCACTTGTAAAACGCTACGAATTAATTCCAACACCTAATAATAAAATAAATAATATTTTCAAAAGATTTTGTAAATATTTAATAAATATATTTGCACAAAATCTTTTTAAAATATTTTTATAAATATTTTTTTTCGATATAATCTAGCAGACATAGAAACATTTAAAAAATATTTTATCTCGAAAATAGCTTGTTCTATCAAAAATGTTAAAAAGAGCTTTTTTCTGCGGATTTATTCCATTTATCATAAAAAAATTTCAAATTTAAACAAATCAATGACGTATCAATTTTTTTTTAGTAAAAAAAGGGATCTTGCTTATCCTTTGGTCCGTCCCTGATTGAATTAAAAGATAATATGTAATCCCAAAAGATAACTTTTCATGTCTATTAAATATATATATATATATATATATATATAAAGTTACATCAAAATAACTCAAACGACATTTGAAATTTTTGAAAAAAACGAAATTTTTTCTAAAAAACACCTTTGATACTCTTAATTGTATCCTTGAAAAGCCGTTTCGGACAAATCGTCATATGAAGTTTTAGTCTTGAGTTTGTGTCAGCAATCACTTTAGCGTTACTACACTTATACACCTTATACGGATACATCCTGTATAATACAATGTCATGCTAACTTCGCAGAAACCGATATCAAAGGATTTGTGAAGTCAGCACATGTCATTCTATTGATATAAGGAAAACAACCACAGTGCCAGAATAACACTAGAGATATATATATATACTATAAGGAATTATAATGGCACTTTCCATAATTCTACATAAAAATGAGTTTTGCATTTTTTATATTAAATGAATGGATTTTTTTAAATTTAACGAGGGCAACTATCTTGAATGTAATTAAACATCCTCTTGATAAGCAGCATAAATAAAATTTCCGAATGATGTTTTTTAAAAATATACAGAAAAGAATAATGCTTAAAACGAAATCCTTTTTCCATTTTTATTCTAAACAATTTATGACTACGTAATCCATTTAATAATAAATGATATAATTAATACATAAATTAACACATAATTGATAATTCTTTTATATGAGACTTGAATGTAGATACGATTGTAAATTCGGGCTGTGTTATTGTTTCTGTTTTCTCGCCGATAAATGAATAAAGTCGAGTTGTAACAAAGAGAGGCATGTCCGTTTCAATCACTTAACACCTATAAACAATTTGGAAAACGCTCATGATTACTCGTTCTGCATCGGTTCCTCTCCAAAGTATCGTGTTATGCCGAGATTGGCAATCCATTCGACTGTTTGGATATTGATGCTGCTCTTTTGCCTTGCCGCGACTGAAAATAAAACGTATCCAGGTATCTGTCATCACAGTATAACTTTTTTATCTGTTGTGTAGAATGCTTCTGTAAATACTTGCAAAGGCAAATATTATTGGAACAAATGATAAATAGCTTTTTAGATGACAAACTGATCGATTCTATTTTTTGTAAAATTTCTGAATTTTAGAATCACATGATTATAAGTTCATGATTTTATTGACTTTCTTTATTCTCTACTTCATAAATTTAAGTTAAAATCTTTAAAGATTTTAGGCTTTAAAAGATTTTACTGAGAAGTTTAATGAAAAAGTTATGCAACAATGATGATGGTTATAAGCTCAATAAAATTGTTCAATCCTCTGCATTTTTTCCAGAAAAAAATGTTTACTTTATAGATTTTCGAGAGGACAAAGTGGTGCATAATTCGTCCGTAAGTTTTTGGAAGGGAAGATCATTTCGTGGAAATAAATCTCTCGAAATTGTCACATCAGGATTCCCGAACGAGACTTTGCGATTTCGAGCAGCAGGAGATACAAATCTTAAAGGATATAAAAACGCCAGCTTAAATACAAGAACTTTGATGGATTTTAACGGTCCAGTTATAATAGAGGATCTCAATGACATGAATGATCAGAATCTCGCGAGCCATATTCGAGTTAAGAGAAATGAACCGATTGTTCATCGCCGACCGAGTTCCGTGAATTTGCTTCCACAAAATTTACAGCGCAGGAATGATGAGACAAACATATTTAGCGACTCGCTATTAAAAGCATCACGTTCGGAATACGAGAACCAACCTGATATCATTGTGGATACCATGGTACCGCAATCACGACACAAACGAGGAGTCCTGTTGGAAAACGGCCATCGTAGGAAACGCGTGAAGGGAAATATTGGACATTCTAAACATAACGTTGAGACGAAAAATAAAAAAAATAAGAAGCATAAAGCTTTGAAGTCTCCCAATCAGCCTGTCACGAAAAAAACGAAAAATCTAAACTCGAGTATGTTTTCTTTTATTTCGAAAATATATCAGATTATATTCATTTCACTAAAGCCTAGTTTCACAACTCATGGTTAACTTTTAAGAGAGGTTTAACTCAAAATAAGTTAAAAGTTAACCATGAGTTGCGAAACTGGGCCTAAATATGGTCATTTAAATCCTAATGTATAAAAGATATTTTTACAAATTAAATAAAACTCAAAAGTAGATGCTCAATATTAAGAAGAGAGAGGTTGCTTACCTAGATTTTTTATTTTTAATCTGGAAAATAGATTTAAAATAAATTTTATCTTTAAGGCTCCTGAGTAGTCATCACAATCACATTGAATTATAGCGATCAGAAGCGAGAAATGACACGTTAATTTTTATTATGTGCCATTTATAAATAAAGACAATTTAGATAAAACAAAATGATGAAATTGCTTTAAAACATTTGTAAAAATAGACGAAAACTATGCTTATCCCCCGATAGCCAATAAATAATCGTAAAAAATGATAAAAAGCACATTAAGTGCTTTTATTCAATGCGCATGCGTAGCTTATTTTTACTTACACGTTATCACTTTTTATGATTATTTGCTGACTATCAAGGAGAATAAGCATAGTTTTCGATTTTTTATAAATGTTTTAAAGCAATTTCATTTTGTTTTATTGTCGTTATTTGTAAATGACATGTAATAAAAGTTAACGTAAATAGTTAAAAGTTAAATATATTAAAAATTATATAAAAAAATAAAACCCTTACAAAAAAAGTATTTAAAACCAAAGATGTACTTTTAATTTATAGAATGTGATAGACATAACATAGATAGCATGCAATATCGCGAATATATTACATACTATACAAAATCAAATTTGAATTTTTAGTTTCTCAAAACGAATTCTTTTCTATTTATCTCATTTGTTTATAGAAAAAAGAAATAAAAATACTAAAAAAATCGAAATGCCTGCCAAAGCAATCGACAAGTCGCGGAAAATAGCAAAAAGAGAATCCGAATGTAGCGATTTCAACAATAATATTGACAGTGCTAACGAACAAACAGAAGCTTTAATTAATTGGAAAGAAGATGCGTCATTAACAAAAAGAAATTTGGTAGAACAGCAACAAGAAAACACCATAAAGTTACCTTTTGTGCACACTGGAAAATCGGAATTGCATGTTCGTATTGAAAAAATTCCTACGAACAAGTCATCGTTTATCAGTCCTAATAATTGGACGGATCATTCTACTGAGACTACTCCTTGCTTGATTATGTTACCGATTTATAATATAAGCGATGACATTCTCAATGTTAATCCAAATGTTGTCCCGAATTTTGATTCTGCTGAAAAAAAGAAAGCTAATAACGTTCTAGTGGAGATTATTTTGAAGAAGCAAGATCTCGGAAACGTGTCTGGTCAGGCAACAAGCGATTCTGAAAATACATCGTTCTATAATGCGGAAGTCGAAATGGAAGCTCATCCGGTTGAATCCAACATGCAGAGAATCGAGAATCGAAATACAAAAAAAGAAAATTACGATTATATGAACGAGATGTCTGTAGACTTATCGGACGAGGATGCAAAGTTGCGAGCGAAGAGAAATCAGCAAGTTATGTCTAAGTATTTACGAAACGATAAGAATTCGAAGAAATCAACACGAAGTTTCAAATATACCGAAGAAGAAATCGGAGACACAAAAAGTGAGAAGACAAGGTACAGAAGGACTCGAGGTAATCGTGCTGTAAGAACGATCGAAGAAATTAAGGAGCTTGCCGAAAAGTTAATTACCAAGGTAAGAAACTGTTGTCAGGAATCTTCCTTACAGATTATATCCGAGTTTAGTGTAGAGATCCTTCGTTTCCAGATAAATGAACTGCAGGTATATGTGAGCAATCGTAGTGAAATTCTATATAACTCTATAAAAGAAAAGGATTCCTATAAAAATGCAATCAAGGAGGAACCGAAGATCACCGTGAAAAAGAAAGATATATCAAGTTCTACATCCAAGATTGCTGAGAACACTGACAATCGCCAGCGCTTTGCAAAGGAAGCGATTTTGGCAGGTAAAAGAACATCCCAAGTACGTTCTAATGGTTCGAGATTTGCACGAGGAGAGTATCGAACGAGGAGGAGATCGCGTCGCAAGTGGGGCAGGTGGATGGACTGGAGCAGCTGTAGCGTCACCTGCGGCAAGGGTCGACAGATCAGGTGGCGGCATTGCCTGCATGACTGTAATGATGCGGAAACCGAGATGGAAGAGAAAGCGTGCCAATTGCCGGCCTGTCCCCCGAGTAAGTTCCTCGGAATATTTTGAAAGATTCCTCCTTTGACAGACGACGGTCGATGATCGATATTTTGCAGTGTATCAACTGTCAGTACCATAATTGTTAAAGAAATATTATGTAAAACAGCAATGTGATTTGTGGTACTATAATCTTCCGGTTGCTTGTATAGAATTATTTATTTACCTAGCTGCGCTTCATGAAAAAGGATCTCAAATGGTTTCTCGATAAGGAACGTTCGCGAAGTATCAAATTCTTTGAAATTCATTTTATTCTGTTCTTTTTTTTGTGTAACAGTTTCCGTACAAAGATTTTTATTACTTCGAATCATGTGCTTGTTTTACATTACATAGGAACTTTCAAAGTTACAAAAATGCAACAATCAATGACGATTTTATCCCGAGAAGAATGTTTGAACGATGGAATTCTTGAAATTCGCAAATTACAAACGTTATCGCCGTATAAAACATGAACAAAATTTTTTTACAGCCTCGTGAACCTTCCTTATTAATTATCCATGTACAACACAGTTTGCATTTTGTATAATTGCATAACAAATCGTTTGATGTATATTTCTCATCGTCTCATTATCAAATACATAATATATTATACAGCATTTTAAACAATATCTCCTTCTTCGCCTTCAGTATTCACAAATAACGAGGGCGTTCATTGATTAAAGAGTAAGTTTGTAGCAGCTCGATCATCGTATTCAATGTCACTAAGTCACATTGATTTACACAAGATACGATTGTCCGCCCCTTGCTAATAATCGTGTTACAAAATAGGCTTGTTCTTTTTAGCTGAACTTTTGCACCAGTTGCTTTCTTTCTTTTTTCTTCAGAAGGGAAGAAGAAAGATGAACTGGTGCAAAAGTTCAGTCAAAAAGAACAGGCTTAATGTTAACGAGCGTATACTTTCCGTGCACACACAAGTAGTATATGAATCTATACAACGCTTTCTGTTTACTTTTCCCAATCAAATGACTTTGCTCTATCAGCAATCCGTACATTTTTGTGTATATTATAAAATCTGATATTGTACAATATTTATAAGTTTTCTACAATACATTCTTTCTTACGTTCGTTTTCTGTGATACTCTGATTTAAAAAATATTAATAAAATTCAGTCGACCGTTTAACATTTTTATCCTATCAATTTAGGCGTAACGTAAGAATCGAATTGTACTGTATGAGCAACGTATAATTCATCTAAATATTAATAAACTAGATGACATGCTTTCTATAAGCAATTATTTGTCAAAGAATATTCAAAAGCAAATATAACATGTTTATGCGGCAAATTTTATCACAATTGAAATATTATTACGTCGTCAGTATAAGTTTTCAATCATCAACAATTTATTTTTAATTTTTTTTGGACACTTGATGGACAATGGAAGATCCATCATTGCTTTTAAATGCAAGCAAGATAAAATGGACATTTGATAATTAAAAACAATTGTTGATAAAGATTAAGATTTCTAGCGTGCAGATATAATTAGAATCTATTTTTCTTTCATCGATATTTTTAGATATGTCAATTATCAGACATGTTTATTGATAAACAATCTGCAAAATATTCTCATGCATGATACATTCGTAAATGCTGATTTAAACAAAATGCGCCTTATTTAATTTATATTTTGATGTTAATGCTGCGCCTCACTCTTGACTAAGGTACAATAAAAAAATGCTAGAAAATAACGATACAAGATATAGTACCGAAAATTGTACAATCGAACATTCGTGAAATGAATTAAGCGAATGAGAAAGACAATGCTAATGTAACGCCTTCAATTATTTAATATTTGACTTATTCAGGAGAACACATAGCGTTACATATACAAATTGATCACATTGATAAAACGCATCTATTCTTCGCGCGCATGTATTCACGCATACATATAAATGTTCTTAACTATGCATCGTTACGTAATCAGTATCAATAGTCTCATATCGTGCACATTGGCATTCACAATTTTGTCCTAGATTAAAAGGACGTAAATCAGTCAACAATGCAAATTGTAATCTTACCTATCATTCGACTACTTAAATTGTGAATGCTATATTTGATAACTTTGAGTGTTGTTTTAACATCGTTGACTTATCTGCAATTGTAATTATCCGGTAGATTTAATATATGTACGTCAGATTGCAGTCAAAGCTTGATGTTCACAGCTAGTTGCACACTTTTAGCTTATTGTTTAATAAGAAGTCACTTGTGTGGAAGAACCAAGGCGCATATTGTGATATTGTATACGTATACATATATATATATATATATACCTCTTATATATATATATAAAACACACAGTGACTTCATCATGATCCATGAGATCAAAATATATCACTATTAAAATAGTATATTTCTTGCTTGTTCGACTTGGTTATTCTCATCAGAGGAACAATAAGCTAGTATGTCTATTTGCTGCTCTTCACCTCCGGCTAACACTCGCACATCTCGGTCCACATCAACACGCATTTTCGTAAGTATTCTTTCCACTTCTTCCATCGTGTCTATGCCCAAATTATCTACTAAAAATAAAAATATACGAAATGAGATATAATATACCAAATCAGCGCGGTATATTACGATAATAATATAGTATTTTAATGATACTTACCGCCCATCGCAATCACATCCGTTGCTATAGTTCTCGCAACGGCTAACCTTACATTAGGTACTCTATCACACGACAAACTTATCAAACATGGTAACATTTCCTTAGAAAACTTCTCTTCCGAGATCGCATTGTTGCGAATCAGGTGGGAACATATAAGCGCATAAGTTTGCCGATGTATCCACTTTTTAGCGTCTAGAACTAGAGTCTCTCTAAGTTCGTGAATAAGGGACATTACCAGAGCATCCTCGTTGGACAAGTAACACATTATTCGTGTGATCTGAAGGAATTTGAATTCAAGTTTATAGGTAAAACAATTATGAAATATGATATATATGCGATAGGTGCAATTATCTTACCAGTTCAAGCGCGATGGTTCTAACAGCAGCAACTTTATCTACAAGTAGTTGGAAAGACAGCGGCGCGATACTCTGGGCCACATCGCTCGGACTGAACAGACTTACAATCTCGAGCAATTGTATGGCCAATTCCTCCCTAAACCTCCAGTTCCATTCGTTATCTGTAGCAAGGAAATCGCTCAATCTTGATAGATATTGACAGCGATCGACGGGTTTGAGTATTTTCAGAAAAGTTGCAAAGTGCTTGAGCACACCTATTCTGACCTCGTCGAGATCTTTAATAAAACCGTCGTAAATTGGAACAAGGTCAGTAGCAGTGAGTTCTTCGCCTAAAATCATGGCAATCTCATGAATGCTGGATGCTAGAGTACGCCTAACTCTCCAGTGTTTCGCACTCGACAACGATTGGTAAGCCTTTTTCAAGTAATGCCAGTTCTCTTTGCCCAGCGTGAGCACAACTGCAGGAAAACTAAAGGCACAATAATGTGGGATATCGGCACTCATGAACACGCATTTATTCGGATTGGCCATTGATACATAATAATTGATTAATTCTTGAGGTACAATCTCTTGTTTATTATGCATGTTTATTATGTTTATTATCTCTTGTTTATTCGCATTTAAATTCTTACAAGATTCGTCACTCTTGCTCATAGAATCTTCGTCATATATATAAAATTTTCTCTCCAAGTTACGCTCCTCGTACTTTTCTCTTAAAGTTTTTAGACAATCTTTTCGAATTCGAGAAGGACGCATAACTCTATCGATATGCACTGGTTTTGGAAAGATACACTCGTTAGTTTGCTTTTCTTTTTGTTTATCATCGTCTTGCTTTTCCTTTTGTTTATCGTCGTCTTGTTTTTCCTTTTGTTTATCGAAGAATTTGATCATTTCAAAGACGTTTACATTTGAATCATCGTTCGATTGTTCGTTTATATTTGAATCATCTCTATTCGAATTCACGTGAGAAACTTCAGTTTTGGAAAAAAATGTGATTTTATAAACGTTTACATTTGAATCATCGTTTAATTGCTCGTTCATATTTGAATTATCATTATTTGAATTCACGACAGGAACTGGACTTTCGGAAGAACAAGACGAACTATTTTCTACGGTTAAATTTTGTTCAGTTTCCGCCACTTTCGGGATATTATTACGATTCATCGCCGATTGCCTTGCGGCATGAGTAAGTTCATCATCCAGTGGTATATCCGGAGGTATATAATAATATAAAAATGGATTATATTTTTCCGCATCACGCGTTTCTTTCTTTATTTTATATTGATGCATTCTTTCACGCCAAGACTGAAAATAAAAAAATAATAGAAATATAATTTTATATTTAAATAATTTTAAATGGCATAATGAATTCATAACAAGCTTACAAGAATTTTGATATGAAATTTTTTTTATATGAAAACAATATATGAAAACAAATTTTATAATAAAACAAATTTATTTTTAAATAACGTTTATGTTTGAAAGGTAAACTACCTTTCATGATTTCTAGAACTATAAAGAAATTTAAAACAAAAAATACAACTTCTATTGTAGTCTTCATAAAAAAAATTTTAACAAATGTCAATGTTATGATATATCGTTTTATTTATACATACTTTTGGGCAGTCAAGTTCCGTTTTTTGGTAATCATCTTCTTTTATGGAATCATCTTCTTCCGATACTTTAATGTCTTCATGTCTCACGTTCATCATAGGCAGATAAAATGGACTTTTAGTATTATATCTGTATTTGGTATTTGCTATCATATCTTCGTCCATATCTGGTATTTGATTTTTGATCGCGCTCTTCATAGGAAAGATTCCTTCGTACGAGTAACATATACTGCGCAAACATGCATTCAAGTTAGATTAACATGAATTTAAATTGCAATGGTAACAGAAAAGTATGCTATTGTACCTGGGATGATTATCCTGCTTACTGATATACACTAATTCACCATTCTTATTATAAGTGACTTCGGCGAACTGCTTGGCGAAAGTTGATATGAACGGTCCAAGTATTTGAAAAGCCGATATTCGTACCCATTTGGAGTCATCGATCAAGTGCTTAGCCAGTATGTCCGCAAGTAATAATCGCCGATGTTCGGTTGTTAAACAGCAAGAAACCGGCATCATAACCTCGACACACGCTTTTCGCACGTTCCATATTCTGTCGCCGCACAGATCAATAAACATAGGAATCTAGAGATAATTCGAATACATCAGTAAACGGTACCACTTTCATTTATACTAAATCAAAATATGCCCATGGACTCTTTAGCCTTCCATTTTTATATCTACGAATAAGACTTACCAATTTGCTGTACAATTTCTCCTTTCCCACAGCAATGCACATTTCCCCAAAGTGAGTAGCGCAGATTCTCCTCACCATCATATCGTTATCCTCGCATAGGTCTAAATATCGTGGCAGAAAGACCTTTTCTGTAAGTTCGCTACCAATCAGCGGTGCCAATCTACACATGAGCTGCGAATCAATATAAAATATGGAACGTTGGGAAAAAGTGAATAATCATTACGAGAAATTTAACATTAAATAGATATACGCTATCTATTTAACGTTAAATGTAGACTTATAAACTTATGTTTTAATTTTAGATGATTCTCAAAATAATTTCTGACTACGCAAATTGAAATTCTCTTAAATAGTTAAACAAGTATATGTAAACGTGCGCATTTAAGTCAACAATTTTATGTATGTACGTGTACACACACACACACACACACACACACACACACACACACACACACACATACGTACACATAGTGAACGATAAGAACAATATTTTTACAATATATTAAGTATTAGGTGTTGGAATTAATTCGTAGCGTTTTTTAATGAAAGAATGTTATTTATTTCACATGAGCATTAAAAAATACATTAATGAAAGTACTTCCCATCACTTCCCATCTCTTGTAAAACGCTACGAATTAATTCCAACACCTAATAATATTTATAAAATATTAAGAAACAGGTGAGATACATCGTTCCGTTCCGCTCATCAAAGCTGGCTGTGATATGAATCAATAGCACCACATCACAACCACTCTGATGGGAGGAACAATCGATTTTATTCAATCAGTCTTTCCTGAGAGATGAGCATTTAATTAATAGATTAACGCTTATTGTACACAAGATATACGAACTATATTTATATTACATTACAAAATGATATATTTCTTTATCACATAAAGATAAATACATTTATTCGAATTATTACAAATTGCATAATCGCATTTAAATAATTAAACCACACGGAAAAAATATTTAATCAAATATATTTCCGTGAAAAATCAATCATTATCTTTTTCATTTAAAACGTATATGTACGAATATTGTAATATAAATATGAATATATACATAATATAAATTATCTTACTGTAAAAAATTTATTATATTTTTTAAAATAATTGTGTAGAAACTCATTTTTTTACAACATCGATAAGATTTTATATTTATATTTATTCGCTATTTCTAACTCTTCCCTATTCCAATCGACTATTCCAGACTTAGTTTCCTAAATGTTTAAGTATAAATTAACATTCTTTGTAATTTTTTTCGCACATTCCAAACTTGTCGAATTATGAGTGTCGCAACGCTCATCAAAGCTGGCTGTGATATGAGCATCGTTACATCAGCATATTACAACCACTTTGTGAGCAACGCGAGCACGCTTTCCTCTGTAGCCGAGAATATCTTCAAAGCATCGTATGATGATCCTTGTATACATCCTTTCACACTTCCGCACGACGTAAACGGAGGGCGACGCATAAAACGGCGATCCAAATCGTCAAAAATGGCTGTGATATGAAATTCAGAGAAGCAACACGCCACAACCAATTTGACGATTGGATCGCGTTCCTTCCTGTGTGACGTTATTCATCGTTTCGAATGGTTCGGATAGCTTCGTGTGGTAACTTTCAAAATGGATCTCTTGTTGAAATTTGACGATGCAAATGTGAATATAACGCAATCTTCCGGTAGACCTTTCCTATCATTCATTTCATGTCATTTGTCTCCAGATGTGTCGCAGATGTGTTATCGACTCAACAGGTACATATATCGACGGCAAAAATGGAATCTTCTTGACGATCAATTCTGCGAGCCAGCTCATCAAAATGGCTGTGATATGACTCGAAACATTCCACAACCAATTTGATGTATCGGACCGCAAAAGGTATATCCCCGTTCATGGTGTTGTAATGGCGTTCCTCCAACGTGTCGTCCCTTGTCTTTCCATTGTCTTTCTCAAGCCTCACGTATTTTCCCATTACTCCTCTTCTATTCTGTCATTTAATTTCCTCCTTTCTCTCGCCTTTCTCTCTTAATCACTGGAGCGCGTTGAAAATGGACACAATTTTGATCATCAAAGCTGGCTGTGATAGTCGAACTCTATGACAAACCAACTTTGATGGTAAAAGTATGCCCTCTCTTCATCAGGATGCCAGTATTTGTATTTTTCACGAACGTTCTATGCTCTCTTCACCTTCTTTCCTTTTTTCTTTTTGTTTATGGAAATCTTCAAGCGATGATGGCTTTCCTTGCTCCTTTAATCTCGTTCTTAAAACGCATTTACCTCGTAAACATACTAAACTCCTTGCATTCCTTTTTCTTTCTTTTTCCCAATTTCTTCTCTCATTTTCCTCATCTTCTTATCGTTATAAATTTCTTGCTTTGATTTGACGTTTGGCTCGTTTTTTCATGGGCGCGACAGATCGTGTAATTTTCATCATGTGATTCTCGTTTTTGCGCAACAATCGCCGAAGCGAGCGGACGCCGCATGAAAGACAAGATAGTGAGACGCGATTGCGTAAGAACATCTCACTACCCATGTCTTTCAGGAGGAATCCGTAAATATTGAGAGTTGTATTTCCGATTTCGCATGCGAAAAAACGCGACCGCCACGTATCTATCTCTAATCGCGTGAACATAAGATTTCGAAGCTTTTTTTGCGCATCAACAACGAAAATTCGACATAAAGTAGACTATACAAAAGACAAATCTCAAAAAATTCATTTGTCTTAAATAATTATAGTTACATAAGAATATATATATATATATTCTTTAGAAAGATATCTATTTTATTTACTTACTTTTATTGTCTACTTATAAATAGAAATAAATGATAAAAACGTTTGTTTCGTTCAATTTACATAATTATTTTCTTGCGGAAAACTTAAGGACTTTTAACATTGTCTACCCTTCATAAATAACTTTCTTCAAATAGCAATGTAATTTCAAGAATGTATTGTGTACAGCCTCTTTTATGTCAACTCTTTTATTATTTTTACTTTACAAGAGAATAAGAATACGAGAGGATAGGAAGATGAATGAAGTACGAGAAACTTACGGAGATGTTTGCATTTCGAGTATGTTCATCGGCCACATCGCGGGATCCTAATTGCCACATGTAAGAAAGTTTTTCTATTGTAGGACAGATAACATTCTCGATCGTGTCATTGTCAAGGAGGCTTCGTTTCATCAACATTGTCAGCGCGCTTTGGGCCATTTGTCGTACCTATAGAGAAAAAGTGTCTCAATATTTACATCGCTATTGAAATACTTCGGTTTTTGCTTTGGGTATGTACAAAACACAACACAGGCACGATTTACTTGCCTGATTGTCCTGATCGTTCAGGTACTTCATCACGATATCAAGTAGGTAATTGCGGATAACATGGCCGAAGAGATGCGGTGCTTCGTGGCAGATAATCGCCACATTTGGAATTTGCTCCACAAGATCCGACCGTACCAAAGCATCTGCGAACAGAAAATATATATTTGTAAGACTTTTAACAGCATAAAAGATCGTTTCTCGACGTGTATTCATTTGCCAATTTCATTTCTAAGAATACAATCAGTTTCATAAAAAAATCAAGACTTGAAATGTTAATGAAATTGAATTAACTAAATCGAACGTGAATAAACTCGCTATATTTTCTTACTTTTTATTTAAATGATGCTTCAAAAATGGACAATATATTTCCTAAATATTTTTTTTCTCTAAAAACTTCTAAAAGAACGTTATAAATAGTTTCTAGAGAAAAAAATATCTTTTGTTCATGATCGATTTGGTTAATATATACACAATATATAGATATACGGATTTCGCGCGTGTTTTTAGTGAGAGACACCATGTCCGTGTCTCTTCTTATTTCTTTTTTGAATTAATACATCTTTGATAAAAATCCAATATTGCAAATATTTTCAAATTTCTTGAAGCTAAGAGTCGGATAAATAATTATCGAGAATTAATAATTACATGCACAAATTTTATAAGAAACTCAACGAACACCGACGTTCATTACATATTGTCCGAATAAAGATTAAATCGCTTTTTTTTTTTCAGATTTACCTAGAGACCATATTGTCGTGCTATTACGTATTATCACTTCTTGCAAGCTTGAGATCCACGCAGCGATATTCACAGAAGAATCTCGAAAAGAAACGTTCTTGAGATTTAGACTTACTGAGGATTCGTGACGAACAATACGAAAGCAATGGCTTCCCAATAAGTTACGAAGGAGGGGGATGCTAGAAGCGGGGGTGCAGAAACTTACATTGGGCCTTATGTGATAGGACCATAGGCTAAAAGACTAACTTCGGTGGGGGAAAGAATTGGGGGTATATACGAATGAAACTCAGAGAAGGGGCGAGAGAAGCGAAAGTGACGTGTGTGCCATCTTGCGGACCATCAACACGTATCCTTAAACATCCTTGAACTCGTTTTTTTTCTCCTGTCTTTTCTATTCCTCGCTCGCTTTTCAAGAGAAAATCTTGTCCTTCATCGGTTTCTTTCTCGCGAAGTTTTCCGAAGGGTCGTTGATGCGCGCCATATTTTCGCCCTTTGGGCGCTATTAATCATCATCAGCGAAAACCTATTTTCCTTTTCCGCCTTTTCTGTCCAATGCGCATTTTTGTCCGATTTCAGGCTATATCAAAAATACCCCGCGGCGGTATGTCAAAGATTTAAAGTTACTATGTTAGTAATATTCCTCTACCCCATGCGAGATATGTGGGAAGAGATCTTTGTTAGATACATATATTTGAAAGAATTTCTTTTCGGAATTTTTATTTCTTGACACATTTCTTACATGACTCGAGATTAATTAAATCCTAAAGATTGCAATAGAAAATCAATGTTTTCATCGTAATTTGACAATAAATTTTGGTGATATATAAATACCAATAAGTTATTTTTTCATAATAACTAATTAGAATTCTTTTCAGCTAAAAATATAATCATATCTCTCATTGACAAGTAGTAATAATATAAAAAATATCAAGCATTGAGATGAATGTGCTTTTCAAGCAGTCATCTTAAAAATTTTGCTATCAAGATTTCGACAACATTCAATGTAATATTTGAAAGATATAAAATTTCTAATGTATGACAAATAAAAAATAATAGAAATCTTATTTATTATAATTTGACGATAAATACATATATTCACGTATCCAATTACAAAAACTCGATCATAAATTTATTAATTCTCAAAAAAATTTTTATTTTTGATCCTTACGCGTTATCTATTTTTATCGTTTACGTTATTCGTACATTTATTAAAAATAATGATTTATGATAAATTTATCGCTAATAATTGATAAATTTTTCAGAAATAAAATATCAGTTTCCGTAATAATGGAGACTTACCTCGAAAGACACACTAAGCCATACTAAGATAAATATATAGACTCTAAAAATACGATGAAAATAATCTTAAATTTTAATAAATATTTGTTTAAATAGTTCTAAGTAAATATTTACTACAAACATATATTTATAAACATACTTGATACAAAGATCATTTGATTTAACTATCATGTTTTTAAGTAAATATTTATTTAGTATAAGTAAATGTTTACTCAGTACTATTCAAAGATAAGATTTAATCTTTTTTCACAGTGTAGTTTATAAATTAGAGAACAGAAATGCATTTTCTTATTTCGTCGCACCCCATTGACAAATATCTATGTAAAAGTCAAGACGCGTCTTCGCGCGCTCGCTAGCTAAGCTGGAGAATAGTCGAGATTTTGTACTAGCTCAGAGCCCCCTAGTTTCTAGCCAAAAGGTCAATGTACCCACTAAAAATCGGGGAGAGTCCGATTTCCCTCCATCGGGCGGCGAATCCAAAAATATGTAAAGGTCGAACAAAATGTATACGTGTCGCGTGCCCCGCGAGCCCTGAACCGGTGCTGCTGCACGTATTTCGTCCCCTTTCCGCATGTTCCCCTATAGAAAAACACCAATGGTGGCACGTGTTCATAGGGCAAGATGTTCCGCGGTTCGCCCCTAAAAATAGCTGGTTAGGACATCGCCACCTTTGGGGTGCTGCACATCAAGACACACCCGTCGCATCATCCCTCGTGTGCTTCACCATTTCCGGATGGATAACATGTACTACGTTCGTATTGAGCAGATCTCGATTGGTGGTCTCTCAACAGGTTAGATTTCAAGCTGATTTTTTTCCCCTCAGATATTGTGGAAGATGATCATTGATTACAAATATTTATACAATAAGTTATGATACTAGATATTTGTGCACGTGAAATTTTTTATTCTGTGACAAGCTAATTACTATAATAAGCTCTTATATAACTTATACGTCATCAAAATACTTTCAATTAAAATCAATTCTTTGGGTAGAGATGAGAATATCAGTTTTCATCAAAATATAGTGGCGTTTTTATTAATCTATACTTTGTATTCTGCATTAAAAATATTTAATATAAACAATCGGCCACTTGTTTATTGTCTAATCACGATTTATGATGAACTTTGAACACATATTGTAAAAATATAAATATCGTTTCCTATGAACATGATTTATCATCTTACTTTGTATCACAATTTATTTTTATTCTTCTAAAACGTTATGCACAATGAAATGTTTAAAATAAATAGTTTACTTTTTTGACTGTTCCTGTAATGAAAATACGTTTTTTTTATTTTGTGTCTTTTCAAATTCGATAGAAATAATTATTGAAGATGAATCTTACTACGTTAGATTCTTGATGGATTGTGAGGATTAGGAAAGTTACTCTGTAAAAATAACTAGTTCCAGTTACAGTTTTTTTTCTCTCAGAAATTAGTTACCATTATAAATTATTCAAATTACAATCTGAAAAGCAACACATTACAGTCATAATTATCTAAAAAGAGATGAGTCGTTATTCTTCTGTTAATTTTAATAATTTTTTGCATTGCTATTTTAAATGCAAGAATTTATATATATTTAGTTTATACGTTTTTAATATTCTACATTATTTTATTTATTATACTAAACATTCGATTACATGTTATATTACTTATAATAAATTAATATATACATTCGAAAAATTATGATTATCAGAGATAAAAATATATTTCAATCACAAGAAATAATCATCATTCACTGAATTTATTTTACTTTTATTAATCCATTGACGAATAAGTTTGATATAAAGTAACAATTAAATTAGTTATTAATTAGCAAAAAGATGTAATTTAAGTTACAGTTATAAATAGAAAAAAGGAACCAGAGTTAAGTTACTAAAAAGAATAACTACAACTGTAACTTCATTATAAGACTTGTAAAATAAAAACGAACTTCTCAACCCTATGTAAAATACACAAAATAGTTGTACACTTTTAGAATATATTTGACGCGTTTAAGAGAATTCTTCTGAAAAGAAAAGAGACCTGAATCGAACTGAATGCATTGGAAAAGAATATATCAGTTTACTACGTTTTCTGTTTTCTTTAAGGCAACTCCAGGTAAAGATTTTAAGCTTACAAAAGACTTCGATCGGGTCAACGTTCATCGAAATATTTCAAGAAACTTTCCGAAGTTCAACCATCTAGTTTCACCATCTAGTCATCTCAGCAGCGAAAAATGCATCACTATGTAAATGATTTTTCTTTTCCTTATATCCATAATCCTCACGTCTTCAAAATCCGTTTTTCATAAGTTGTGACACTAAACTAAAATTTTAATTGCTTTCTGTATTTTAATGTGTATTCTCATTGTGCATTTAACATCGAATATATTCGTTTAATAGTTTTCTAATTTAAAAATACTTCATATCAATAGAAAGTGAGAATTAGATAGTGTAGCATTTAATAGTGCTATAATCTATATATTTACACATTAATATTTTTAACTCATAATCGAAAATAAACAAGAATAAATTATCGTGCGATTCTACTGTAAATAATGAAATAATGCGTACATCGACTGCCATGATTGTCATCTCGAATATCAAGAGGTACCAGAAGGATGCGTCTGTAAATCCTGGTACCAGCATGCGCTACGCAAGATTTCTTCGTAGCCAGAGATGGCGATGTTTAAATTAAGAACGGAGTGGGTTTACGTCTGGGATCGGGGGCTGTGCCCTCTCGTATAAATATCGCGGCGGCTTAATGCTATATCCTCGAATCCACGAGCGACTTCCGGCATCGTGGCGCGTGCCATACCGGAAGCGAGGGCACATCGTCCTCATCTTTCGTCGTTGCTTCTAACGCTTACTTTTCGCCGCACCATCTTGCCCTTTCCTTCGACCCCAAACGAAAACGACTCATGCCCCTGTCTTCCCCCTAAGAAACAGCCCCGATACAGCTGGTTGTTAATATTTATACGTTTCCTGTGGCAACACGTTACTTAAGCGATCTCCCTCCCCCATTCAAGGAGGTACGCCCAATTTTGTAGCGAAACACAAGACGTTATTTCGGTTAAGGAAGAAGAATTATGTGCGAAAAATTTTGATACCATAATTGAGTATATTTATATTTTTTAAATGTTACTTAAACATCTGACTTTGATGATGCGTCTTCTCTTTTTGAAAATATAATTCCTCGTGATATTACTTGTACAAAATGTGAAAATTTAGCGGGATATAGATCTTAAGATATTTGACTATATCTTTACACATTTTATTAAATTTCGGTCAGGAGTTTGTAGACACTGCCTAACGTTTTCTGAATTAGAACGAGATTATTTGAACGAATCCCGGTTAAAAAAATTCAATTTCTAGCGAAGCGGCGTTATTTTAATACAAAAGGAGAATTACGTATGCAAGCTTTAAAGCTATTATCGATGCTTGAAGTTTTTGTGAAGTATTGGTCACAGAGATTAGAGTAGAGAGTGAAAGCGTAACGTTGTGTGTATAATTTTAGTAGTAATGCGAAAAAAGAGTATCTAATGACTTCGATCGTGTACGAGAGAGAATTTGAAAAACTTTTTGCGCATCCCTGATTGCACCATAAACATCACAGAATCGATAAGTTTCGTTAACATTACAGCTATCGAATAAATATATTATAATGCTTTCGTTTGCAATCGATATATTATTACGCAGCTCAAGATTATTGTCCATGATGCTATATTTTACGATTACAATAATTCTTAATTTTAGTAAATAAATTATGTCAATTGTGTAAGTTTAAACATAAAAGACAAACAATAAGAATGCAAAATAAAAAGCGTAAGTTATACAATAAAATATCATTAAAAAGTAAGAATTTTAACAATTAATAACCACGCCTTTGCTTTGACATGCACGAATGGTGCGAAGGAATTTGTCTCAGAAATGAACATTTTCAATCCTTCCACATCAAACGTATACAAAGGAGCAAAAATATGCAGCAATGAATTTTTTGATTCAATATATGATATTGCGCTTGATAATATATATAAAGAAATGCTAACGTGTAAAAAAAAAATTAAGAAAAAAAAAGCTGAAATTTGCGTCATCGTACAGTATCATGCGGCTCATTTTGTTAGAAGCAAAATCGATATTATGTAAAGCGGTAAAATTATGACAAGTGGCGTTTAATAAAAAATACATTTTTATGAGAAATATATAAAACTTCTCAAGATAAAAGAAAATATTAATGTGAATAAAATAAGCGTGTACGAAAGCTTTTAGGCTGTTTTTCGGTTGTTTTTACAGACTTATAAGCTTTGTAAATGTTACAATTATGTCAGATATTGCTGCAATTTGCAAGTAATTTAAAAAACAAAAAAGTGCATTTCAAGGCACTTCTAGTGCATTTCTAGTGTTCAAATAATAATCATACAATGTGACTTACCATTATCATCGATAACAAGTTGCACAAGTTGCATGACCTCTTCGACAATCAGCGTTATTTTGTTGTTAACCGCTGCGCGAAACATTTCCACCAATATACGCCCAACCATTTGTCTGCAACAGAAAATCAGAATGACGACGTTAGATTATTGCCAGGTATTCTGTGTAATATTATCGATCAATTTGCATTTTTACGTCAAGACGTAAAGTCCTGAATTCGCGCGATGAAATACGTTTGATTAAAGAGTTTAAAAAAAACATGTTAATGTTATCCTGTTTATCATGCGGTTAAATTTCGCAGCATTAGCTAATTGGAACCGATGAATCTATCTCTTTATTGAAATTGCATATTTTTGCGGAACTAATTTAATTTTATTAATATAAATAATCGCTATGAAATGTGAGCGACGAATAGCAACTTTAGATTACTGTTTTCAACAATAAGATACAATACGTAACGAAATTTTCCAGTGTAAGTCAACCCATGGTGTGTTTGACATTCACATATTCACATATTCACTTTCTAAGATATGTTTGCACTCCACTCATACATCATCTCACTTCTTCGTACGATCGTTCTTTTCTCTAATATTACTCGACATAGTCAACCGATAGTAGTTTTTTATTTTTTACCAATAATCACATCACTAAGAAAAATGGTCTTAGATTAAATAATAATTCTGGTGGAAAATGAACAAATCAGAATTCTAATAGATTTTATCAGAAATATTGTATTAACCAGAATTCATATAAAGAATCCAATAAATCTAAGACAATTCTGATTCGTCCATTTTCAATTTTTTTCAGTAATACATGTATCGTCTCATTCGATCTCAGATACATTTTTGATAGTTTTTTCTACACCATAATACAATCACCGCGAATAATTGTAAACTTTCTCTAGATCAATTAATTATTTTAAATAAATTAATCTAGGCTATATTAATTAATAATACAAAAGAGTTCTTTTATATTAATTTTATGTGTCTTTTTGTAGTGCTTTCTATGTGCTTATAATAAAAACCAATTAATAAAGCCAAGAAGCAATTCATTCCATTGGAGCAATTCATTTTCATTATAATAATTAGGTAAAGAAATGAGTCGTCTAGCGTTAAATTACTAAATCTTGATATTCATAAAAATTTCGATAAATGGGTTCGATTAAATACAACATGATTTAATCATCAATCTCAAGAAAGAAGACAGGAATCTGCAAAGATACTGAAGCAAAATATAATAAATACTGAAAAGCAACATGTGTCTACCTTGACAATCGTGCATATGATATATTCAATGTTGAAGTAACTAAAAGAAAAATATAAGAGCAAATTCCAAGACAGTCGATTATCTTCATCAATTATTCATACACGTTGTCTGTGTATTTCGGCGCATTTGGCCGCGTAAAATTTCAGGGAACTCGAATAAGTTCGATAATTAAATACATAAACCGAGTTAGGTTTCAACATGGCCATCTTCTCTGCTGTGAGGCGTAAAGGAAAAAGGCGAAGAAGGAGAAGAAGAAAACACCAAGTATCGAGGCAAACAAGCGTCAGGACAAGTACGACAAGGAAAACGAGACAAGACGAGACGACGTTTGCGGGCAGCGCACCATCATCGCAGGCCATGAAGGCGGCGGCCGCCCTCCTCGACGAGTGGAATCGAAGACGAAGAGCAGGAAGTGGAAGACGAAGTATCGCCGCCGTGTAGTTCGATCACGTCGCTACCCTTCCCTACCCATACTCCTACGTGCCCTTTCCCGTTCGGCGTAACTTCACCCCACCGCGATGTCAGGGGACCCTCCCCTCTTGCAAAGGAGATGCGAGAATGCGCGCGAGTGGGGTCGAGTGGTGGTGCTACGGACGAGGTAGAGAGGGCGGCGGCGAAGCGTCGGCGGTGGTGGAGGCGACACCAACGGAACATCGTTGACGGTGCCCCACCAGATACGCAGCGGCGCATCGCCGAGTGGGGCAAAAGCGTTCTCCAAAGTAGTTGGAGAACGCGCGACTAAACGGTACCGCCCGTGAACGCCTACCATCCTGGCGCAAACATGGCCGCCGACCGCGACAGCGGCAGCGGCGATGACGGCGGGCGCAGCCGCCCCCGCGCCGGACGCGCGCGAAGGGGGGGGGGAAGGAGAGAGGGTCTCCCACCATGCGCATGATCGCTGTAGTTTCGCGAAGATCGATAAAGAACACGGCGTTTTCTTCCTCCTCCTCTTCTCATGCGCGAGCGATATTGTAGTTGTGTACACATATACATACATTTTATATATATATATATATAATTTATATACATAATACAATATACGTGTAAAAGGGAGGATTTTAGGTATCGCCACGATTGACGTGGACTTCTTCTATCGTAATATCGATGTGTTGAATCGTTGAAGGAAAGAAACTTAACATGCCGGAAATTCAAATTTGCTTCAGAAATTAAGTGTTTACCGTAAAGTTATCAATAAAAAAATGCACACTATACTTTTATTTTACTGCTGCTAGCTAATCTTTTGATTAGCAAGTTGGCAAAATTACATTAGAGTGATACTTCGCATTAAGAAGATAAAGCTTTATTTTTTCGGACGCGTTAATCTTTATACTTGCAATGGACAAAGAGGATAAAAATTAGTTTATCAAAATTAAAATATGATAAAAAAATATGTTTCATATAATTTTATTATCTTAGTAGTAAATAGAAACAGAATAAAAATATAAATTTTCCAATAATTAAGAACCGCCATTTTGTAGTTAAATGCGCCCAAATGTCTGGCTGTGACCGATTTTTTGGTTAAAAAAATAATCTATAATTAACCTCATGCTAACATTAAAAATATGTTCGATAATCTAATTCGAATAATCTAATTTTATAATCTAAAATAACCTTGTCTTATTTTTAATGTGACTTTCTTTGATTCGAAAAAATAACTGCGAAATTGATTTTCTTTCAACAAAACGCAATATCCGACAAAAGAAAAATATCATTTCTTTTTCCGTTCAAAGATCGTTTTGTATAGAAATAATAAAAATAAAAGAATAGAAAAATATATCCCGTCTACAAATATCTCTTTGTAAATAAAAAAAAAACCCCGCTGGCATTTCAAAATGGACCTTTTACGGTTACTTTTTTGAAACTTATAGTCAAACAGCGATTTGCGCACACACGAAACATGATCTGATACGCTTTTACTGCTCTATAGATTTATTAGGTTCTTTTCAAACATCCCATTTTCCGATAATCCTTTTCCCTCTATCACTCACGTCCTTTTTCTCTCTGTTCGAACTCAGGCATTTTGATAGTCTAGTGTCTTATCCAGAGACAAATGTACTAAGAGAAAACAATATAGTGAAGGAAAATGCAAGAGCAAAATGGCCCTTAAGCCTGCAAGGATATCTCAACAAAGACACTCTTTAGTCATGCTAATAAAACTAATGAACATGTAGATAGATATTGCGCATAGAAAAAGAGAAGTGCAGGGGTAGTTTCTCATTGAATTGAATAGGACGAAAGAAATGCAAAGAAAACGGAAAGAATTCTCGGATAGTTTGAATTTAAAGATGTGAAATCAATTACGGCTATTTACTAGAAAATTTCTACAGAAATTGAAGTAGATAGTAAAAAAGAAGATATAGTATCTCTACGGAAAAGGAAATCCGTAATTAGGGAAAAAGCGTTTCATATCTTGTTTGACGAGCGAGTGTAATTCCTTCACAATCGAATAAAAGGTAGAATTGTGAAGTATATATATTAAGAAAACGATAATTTATTTTTGAACTTTCACATTTTGGTCTGAAATAGATTTGTTATAACTTAAGATTTATTATAATTCTTTATTTCATTGTATTGCTTGCCTTAAAATATGACATTGTTTCAGTGCTACTATAGTGGTTTTCTCGTTCTGTAAAGAGATTAAGTGTTGCAAAAGGAAGAAAATGAGCGGTAGGATTAGGAAGAAAGTGTGCTTTTCTTTATTTAAGATGAATGAGTACTTGAGATGATCACCTCCCATATCATCACTCGAACTTTTCTTTTCAACACCGACACCTGTCCTAGCACGTACTTTCTTGGGAACGTTCAGCGGATTTAAAATTTGTACATAGCCCGATAAGATCGCATTGTCTTTGAATTTCCGAGTAGTGTAGGAAGCTGAACAGGTGCACACGAGACGCGGGAGAGAATTCTTGTGACCGCTGAGACAGAACGGTAAAACCACATAACGATAAAATTCGTTAATTAAAAATTTTTCTAATTAAAATACAATCGAATTTCCCGAACGAAATTATTTTCATACAGTGATTAACCGGAAACAACAAGTATAATAGGCGCATTATTTATTTTTACAATACAAAAGAATTCCTATAAAATTGTCAAAATAAGTTTTTCATTAAAATTTTTATAGAAAATTATTTTTTCCAAAAAATTACTTCGCAAAATCTTGAAAATTACGATGTATTGTATATGAAAATTGCGTCAACGATTGAATGTTCCTGTCTATATCATGCAATATTCTTCACAAAGAAGTAATTTTTTATTACACCTATCACATCTCATATTTAGTGTCACTAATTTACAATAGATATAAAATTTTAATTTTATATATATATATAACTTTTTAACATCAATCTTTTTTTCGAAATAGTTCGATCGGTTTTGATTTGCATTAACGTATTCCAAATATATTAAGAAATTATGAGGGAGAGAAAGTTGAAAAGGGAGCAAAAAGAAACAGAAAAAGAATATTAAGATTTGCTGACTTTCGCTCTAATCTTTCCATGCAAGTTTGCGATACCGGAAAGAAGATCGAACGGTATGTCGTAAATCTCAAACGAGATACAATATACGCAGCGAAACTATGCGGCGGTCTTGTCCGATGGGCATCAGGTCGATCGGACAGACATGCGATTCGCGGGCGACCAGTTTTGCGGAGCCGTTCAACAACGCGGCTTTCCGTCTCTTCCTTTCACCCGCGCGGAGACGTTGAGGGAAAAGAGAAGGAAAAAGAAGATGAAGAAGAAGAGAAAACAAGAGAAAAAAAGGGAAGAGTGAGTGAGTGAGAGAGAGAGAGAGAGAGAGAGAGAGAGAGAGAGATTGAGTCTGGTAGCGGACTCTCCGTTCTACGA